ATTTACAGTAATTATAATTTAAAATTTTTAAATGTACGATTTAAATAAATAAGGAAAATTCGGCGGAACCTATTAGCGACGATTTTTCGCGGCATAGCGGCGAAATTCTCCTCAAAATCTTCCTGTTGATACAGAAATGATATTGTCGGTAATGTCATAATATCAGAATTAGTAATTCTTCGCTCTGATACCATGCTGCTTCTCGAAGCACTCATTTGGCTATATTAACATTTAAGTTAATAAATTATGTAGATTTGACACATGTCAGACAAATCATATAAATATATCAATTTAACATTAATAATCGAGTAACAAACGACTGTCTTTCCTCTTTTTCTCCCATAGCATATCTAATTTTTCAATCACAAAGAATTTAAACTTATTATTTGAAAATTAATTTTAATTTTATTCATATTACATGGTTCATATTATATGGTAATTAAATGAAAAAATTAGCTGAATATAAAGTTTGTTCAGTGCATTAAACTTTTCTTATGAAAGTCAAATATCTATCCCTCGCAAAAGAGGCTTCGGCGGAAATTCTCACACGTGTAAAAGCGCAGTAATTGTTCTCGACATACGGTATTTTTAAATTAATTATCTTGAACAGTGTGTGAAGTCACGAATATATGCTGCTTATGGTTGCTCAAGGCATTCATGTTGGGAATTGTGTATTTTGAGTTAATGCATGTTCTCAGTTCAACTTTTAAATATATCTTCGAATCGAAGAAACAGATTCTTGGTGATACTTTAATTGCAATCAAATTTACAACCAACTCATTTTACGAAATACTTTATTTTCCTATTTCGTAATCTTGATCGCAAATAACACTTTAAAATCAAAAGACACGATCGTGTCTCGCGTCATTCCTCAACTCGTTAATCATTCATCAGTAATCTTTACCGCTAAGATAAAGAATTAAAAATGAATATCGTAACGATAAGTCAAAATTAATGCAAGTCGAATGTAAAATAAACGTGCGACATGAATATTTTGATTAATACCAGAAAGTCGATATATATAAGATTCTTATTTTATATCATTATTAAGCTGAAAAATACGAAATAATTTAGCAAATTAAGATTGTGGTAAATGTAATAAATGTAATAACGCCTTGCTAAAATCTTCAAAAGCTTTCTTAAAGCTTTTTTGATATCTCTACTAAACCACTTTGTGTTATTTAGATTGATGATAATTCAAAATAAACGTTCCCCTATTTTGTATATATTGACCTTGCCTGGAACTCACGTCACCCCACCTTATATCAAGTTCGTATTAGACATTTATTCTTTTTATTTTGATTTGTATAGCAATCAAATTTTTTCTTCGCGTTAATCAGTTAATATAATTTAATAAAGCAATATCAACTAGTTCCGGCTCTAGTAGCTTAATTTAATTTCACTATATTAAACAATATACTAAAGAGCCAAATCAATAATTTTATTTTTATTAATTAGTTTTCTCTTATATTTTCATGAATTTTTCGAATAAAGTGGAGGAATAACAAATAACTTACTCATTCTGAATGCACCGTCGCGAATTGCTAAAATTCGTAGTTGATGAGACATCGTTGTTCGCATCCTTCAGCAACATTTTTCGCGGAATATCAACTAATCATCGATACCCTGTGATTAATTTTGTGTTCTTATTACCCGACAATAACACAGATGTGTAATAAAATTGTGAAAAGGATCAGTCGTGGATGCAAAACTAAAACACGTCTGGGAAAACGTTTCCAGTTTATATACATATATGCGATAAATTTAATGTGATTGTAATGTAATATTAAATATACATTAGTAAATGTTTGCAATAGATGTTAATCAAGTCAGATTAGAACAAATCATATTGTAATTTTAAAAATAAAACTTAATTAGATTATGGTTACAAGAAATCTTTTTCTTGTATCAGTACTTTAAATTTATCTCCCTAAAATGTAAACATGGAATTAAGAACAAATTTGTATAAGTGCAATTTTACAATTTTACCATAATTTAAGATTTTTTTATTCATGATTATATTTATAATTCAATGAATAAAATTATAGACAGAACTTTGTTCTAAATTTTTATTTATAAATCATATCAAAATAGATATTATAATAGCACTAGAATATATTTCACAATGGCAATGATGAGGTGTTTCCCTTTATTGTCGTCAGTATCTGATAATGCTAGAATAACGAGCGTACTTCGATCTAGCTTGTGCAAAACTCTTGCGAAAAACTGCAAGAACTTGTGATTGAGAAAATCTGAAAATCGTTTCTAATCACTGAATCAAGAAAAATTTGAAAAAGAAAAAATTATGAGTGAGATTCATGAAATTACATTTTGTGTAAAAAAAAACGTATTTCCATTTAAAAGAAAAGTGTATCCCATCATTAAAAGACATTCGTAAATTTTGGGACATCCTACATACACTTTTTCAAAATGGAATTACATTTTCTTACGTACGCACAAAGTGTTCCAAAAATTATAATAAATACGTTTTCCCAGCGTGTTTAATAGATCAATCTGAACTAGAAAGGTTCTCGATCACTTTCTAATGACACACTCACGTTGACGAAAGTTTACAATCCGGATTATCACGAGCGGCACGGTAGAAGTTGCGCCTCGAGGAGCGAACGGGCGTGTGTGAAAGGCGTAAATGCTTTGCCGGGTGAAGAAAAAAAAAAAAACGGCGATGATGTTATCCGCTCAATGACCAAACGTCAACTGGTCCGTGGCGAGTCGCTGACAGTCGATTAATACGCAACGATGGGAGCTAATTCATCGTCTTCCGGACAATCCAAACCTCCTCCTCAATTCAACGCGATCGCGTGCACGACTGTTGTGCAAGTTTACTACCAAGGGCTAAATCAGCGACGTGTGTGTATGTGAGCGAGTGCGAGTGGGTGTACGTCTGCATAGAATGCACCTCTCTTCGCAATTACGACGCGTCGTGTGCTGTTATACGTGACGGTAATCGTTGGCATAATCCACCGCACGATTTTGTTGGCGCGTCACCGAAAAGCGTGCGAGCGAAACGAGCGTCGAGCGACGCATCCGCGTCTCTGCATTTTTCCTCTTTTTTTTTTCGTTTCTTCAGCGCTTGAACGTGCAATACGATATGAAAGGATTTATTATTTCTTTTTATCAGTGAAGGTGTTTTGCGCTAATCGCGGAATGATAAGAAAGCAACGGAACGCTCATAGTACATGAACCAGGTGAGTCATATCATCTTGTGCTTGGTACACGCGTGAGAACTTGGCCGTATTCAGTCTAATATTAGCCTTCCCAAATTCATTTCGATCCTGTGTAACCTACATACCGAGTGAACTTTAAGTCCGATCAAGGCTTACGTTAGTGTATGTATAGATTGCGAGTTACCACTCTCGATAGTTGAGTGAAACGAGCACGCAATTAAAGACTATATTTTTATCACTTTCTTGTTAATGCGAAATCCTAAATAACAACACGTGCAACGCCTTATGTTATTAGGACAAAATTTGAAACAAGTAGCACAAACATATCTTTGAGATGTAAAACTATTTTACCCAATCTTCATTAAGGAACAAAATACTTGAAATTATTAGTCATCTAAAATGTTTACAATTTCTTGTGTCTTAAATCCAAATATTCAAATTAAATTCCGCCTTTGACGATTTGTACAACAAAGTAAATTAATTTTTAAATTTAATTAGTGACTACGCTTCTGCAACAAAGCGATGTTTTAAAGTGTCTATGCATCTATTTATAATAGTAAAAAATATGGAGAGAGCGGCATTTTAACGATTACTTTTGTGCGTGTAATATCGCACGGAAATTTAATTGTTTTCAGCACGAACTTGAATGCTTTATCATGTTCTGCGGATTTTTTATTAAGTAAGTCGGTCAAGCACTGCAAAAGATGCGTGCATGCCGGCACGTAAGACTCGCATGTCTAAAACGTGCATCGTTCACACTTTCACTGATCACTTATTCACAATATCTGTGCCGAGTGTCCACGTTATGTCTGCGTGCGATTATATTTCTGCAATAAAATCCCGAGATAATTAATACAGCAATTAATCACAAACATATTAATCGTACTTTCAATCAAAACATTCCAAAGAAAGAACCATTTCAATCGAATTATTGTTAAAGAGAGATTTAAACTCATTTTTATTCCCAATGTCGATATAATAATAGCAACAAAAATAATAAATCGATAAAAGGGATCGCGAGAAATTTGAAATATGCTGTATTTTAATTACCACAATCTCCTCTGTCTATTTTGACATAAATCGGGCATTACTCCCAAGGTAGCAACTACGTGACAAAGCGTTTATAGTGTAACACAATTCGTTGCACGACATGAATGAATTACACTCGCGTTTACTATATTGACGTGAGTCTTCTCATGTTGCCAGAACTATCTGCCAATGACTCGAAATAAGATACGTTAATTGCGTAAGCCTTGTCGTTACTTTGTAAGTTTACCCTTTCAACGGTGGATGAAGATACCAATTACAATATGCGTGCAAGCGAATGACCGCACGTACATCAAAATCTACAGAAAATACTATTTTTACCTGCAAGAATCAAAATTTTCGAGAGAAATATCTTTTATTAAAATACATGTTTTAATCCTCCCAAAAATATAAGTTTTTTTAAGTTTTTGATATCATGAAGCCTATAAAATCCTCCTTAAAAAAAGAAAATGTTATTCTTAAAATTAAAGATCTATCTATTGAAGATTAATGTATTAGTTCTTTATCAAAATTTTCTAATAAGATTACATAATCCTAGGATTTTAAATTCTTCTATCGTTAAAAAAGTTGTGATATGCAAATAAATTTTTCAACATGAAAAACGATTACTTCATTATAACAATGCATTTTTATGGAGTAATACGTAGCTTACAGAGCATTATATTGCTGTGAAGCAATACCGTTGTCACGTTACAACGTCAGCAATACATTGCTATCTATTCAGTGAGGAAACTTGTTTATGCGGTCCGCCGCTGGAAATTTTTAATCACTTTATCACTATTGGTTTACAAACACGCCTTGACAGTCCTCGGTCCAGCGGATCACGGTAACACGCATTAACGCCATTAGATAAACTTTTTCTAGTCATTTTTTTATTATGTAATAATCGTTACGCGCAGTGATTAATCTTTTCACTAGTATACATCACACATAATGAATTGGTTAAAAAATTTCATTAACAATTAATTAAATTATGTGTGTACACTATATAAATTAATTCTTTTAAATTCTAAATATGATATGCGGAGATGGAGAGAGAGAGAAAAAGAGAGAACTAAAAAATATTATATTACTTTAAATATTCGATAAATGATTACGAGTGTCGTGAGAATTATAAGCAACATTGGCAATGATTATACGTAATGAGATAACTACTGCTGGGCACAATAAAATTCTATGAAAGACTCGTCGTCATGCGACAAAGCTCCTTCATTATCTAATAATACCATTGAGTGGTCTAATCTATTGCGATTAATCTATTATCTCTAAATATGCCTTTGATTATTAGTTTCCTTCATTCTTTTCTTTCAATTATGTGGATAATCATAACTAATCATAGTAATAATAGAAATTAGTTGTAATAATAGTTTTCGAGAGAAATATATGTTTTAATCCTGTCAAAAATATGATTTTTAAAAATTTTTGATGTCATGAAACCTATAAAATCCTCCTTAAAAGAAGAAACTTGCAACAACTAGTATTATATATTATACAAAATATTTATAAGAAAGAAAAGAGATAAGAGAAGTATAATAATTATCCATATGCAAAGAAATTTTCAACAAGAAGACGATGATTTATTGAACTTGAAAAGATGCTATCAATTTACGAGACTTGGCACTATTTCATTGTCTGGCATAATATCGTTCTCACGATATAAATTTCATCGTCAATAAATTGTGACGGCGCTTAACGTACAGAAATTAATCTATAATCCTATTCAAGGATTATCGTCGAAAATGCAAGATAATTCATACACGATTTTACAGAGACGTCCACTGGACGGTAATAATATGTCGTAGAATGTAATCGGATGAAGAATCATCATTAACTTAAAATCGAGAAAAAATTCTTAATAACAAAAAGTCTATTAAACATATGTCTAAAAATGTCTCCTTAAAAAATGTTGCGTATCATGTTTCTTGAATATTGAATTACTCTTTACACATTGCAATCCATTAATCCAACTTGTAAGATTTTGGATAACGTCAACGGATAAGTATGATGCAAGAAATGGAATAATACATTGATGAAGTTACGGCATTTCCGACATTCATGTCGGAACACAAAATTTACAAAAGTTAAATGGATGCCCATTATTTTCATATTTCAAATCATATCCTTTACTCTCTTGTTTTCCTCACAGAATATTTATTGGATATCCTGCATAGTTTTTTAATAAAGAAAACATGTACAACAAATACGAAAATAGCGCATACAATATATGTATAAATAGAAAGAATAATCATTTAACAATTTAGTTTCTATCTTAATCGACCTTTTTCTTTTGAATTATGATCTTTTATACCATAAATAGATTGCATTTGCGGATATATCGATAATGAAATCCATCAGCTCGATACATTAGTCCAGATTCGAAGCGGCAATCGATCGTGTGAGCGATACCTCGAGATACACTCTTTACAACCACCCCGTTACACGAGCACTGCAGATCGTTGCAGTAAGCGCGCGCACGTTATCGGAAGATGCGGCACCGTGTGCATGTATCCACGGTTTCCCAGAACAAGTGAAAACCTATATTTTCTCGACACAAAATCGATGCCACAAAGACACGACATTCGAATCTTCCTTCTTGCGAGAAAACCCGGCATAAGATTCGAAGAAAATCAAGGAGATACACAATGCATCGATAACGCGAAACTAAATTCGCATCTTTGAGAAATAAGAGTTAAAAAAAATTTCCGCATCGTCACGAAGATCATTAAGCAAATAACCGAAAAAAACATGGCCACCATTCGTCACAGATGCCAAGTAATGTTAATAGCAAGAATAATGTTACAATTTTTTTAAGCAGTGATGCCTTCCATGCTTAATGTAATGGAATGCGCAGTAAAATGAGTTAAAATTAGGTTTAAAACTGTACGGTATACCGACCCAGGGCCAAATTCTATAATTGGAATAAGGAGAACGATTTGCGCGAGGTGACCTGTCTCTTTCTTGTGTGCCGAATTGCCGGTGCTCGAAGCCACTTTATCATGTATTAATAACAACGCGGAAGTTTCGTCCGCTTTCACCTTAATGCGGAATCCTAGATTTACCTGTGCCCCAATTCGCGCTTATCAGTGCGGGCGCCGTGAGTGCCCTCGTTGTAGCTGTCCAGGTCTTGCTCGCTACGATCGTTCCTGGTCAATCCTACGTTAAGGCCGAGCATGGTACGATGGATCGATTCCTCGGGGAATACGTTCGAGTCATCCGGGAATCGCACTCTCGGCCCTGTGCACCGTGAAATTCGAGTCGTCTTCGTTACGATTAAAGGGTTCAGAATTGCGCGAATAACAAAGCATGCTCATAATTCCGTAAGATACATCTCTTTGTAGTATTCTGAACGATACAAGAGCAGTATCTTCGGAATAAGAGATAAAGTGAGTTAAAGATAGGCTTACAAGTCTGCGTTTACGAGGCCAAATTCTTTAATTCTATAATTAAAGACGAGTTCGCGCCAAATAAATTATCTTACATTTACGTCGTGTTTAAAATGTAAATGGACTTTTTTCTCCTTGCACTGAACCCTTTAATTTTTAATTCGCCTCCGAAGAAGCGGCACAACTAAAAGAGCTCATATGCAACTTATATTGCAATTTATTGAACAGGTGCTAACTTTTTACTTACAGAAACGAACAGCGTGAAAATTGTCGAAATTGGAAAAAATGGATCGATTCAATATTTTTACTGTACAAGAAAAAGTAAAAATTGCTTACTAAAACGTTAGATTTTTTTCTTCTCCACGGTTATCATCACTAATATTAATTAAAAATTCATAAAGATACACAAAAATATTTGGCTACTAAACTAGTAATTAGTGACTAAAAGTATGGATACGCTAATGTTAAAATAAGGATAAATTGTCTTGTAATTGTCTTGAACTAAATCTTGGAGAATCTCCTGAGAAACGTAAGTTGCATACAACTCGAAAAACAAAAGATAATTACCAATAGTGTTGATCGCCGGCGTAATGATCACATCGACACTTCGATGACTCATAGCGGAAACTAATGACAATGACAAATTATTACTTTTCGACAGCTCGAATACGTCGCGAAAATTGATCACCAATCACGTAGCTTTTTTAACTCTGTCTCACGCGAGTGGCAATGTTGTAATGACGAAATGGAATAACAACTTTCGACCGCGAACCGCGGACAAACAAGATTCTCTTTCTGACGAAAGCATAATTAAATGATAAGAACGCAGCAGATCAATCCCAGGGGTCATTCGCGTGACGATAACGCGTGAAGAAGGAAGAATAATCGTGAGCTCACGTGATGCCCCCCTCGACTCGAAGGCGGATGCGAATCGTGAGAAATTTATCAGGAGTGATTAACGAAAAAAAAATAAAAAACAAATTTCTGATGTAACAACATCACAGATCGATACTTTAAATCCAAAACCTCGTAAAAAAATCCAAATTTTCCAGGAAATGTTAAAAACTGTTTATTTATAACATATTCCGATTAATTTGTCAAATTTTGAGTTTAAAATGATTTTAAGTTGTTAATAAATAAGTTTTGGGATTATTTAAAAAAAAATTTGATGCATAAAAAAATAAAAATACTATCATAATAACAGAAAAAGTAAAATTGGTAAAAAATTCGATATACGAGATTTTAGATTTAAAATATCGAGATACATTTTACTATCTTTGGCCTTAAAAAGCCAAAAAAGAAGAATAAATATTTCAGAATTGACTATGGATGTATTCAGGTGTATTCTAAAATGTGGAATCTCTCAATGTATATTTTCAGCAAAGATATGATAATATAAAGATAATATGATAATTTAACATATATCGTCTGCGCTATTTTCGATTTTACGGATTATTACGAAATCCAGTAATTATCTTTTTCCTCTTGTTAAATATTCATTATTTTTATAATTTTTTATCAAATATTTGTACAGAGAATTTTAAACATAAAAAAATGTAAACACTATTTTTTCTCTCTAAATATAGATATTTACATTTTTTCAAAAAATTTTTTTTTCTAAAGCTATATTGTATACGACAAAAAAATCTGTACTTTATTACATCGTATGAATCAGAAGTAAATAGAATGTGCGCAATTTTTATAATCCCGAAATATATCGCGGCCAAAGTGTATCGTTTAACGAGTTATTTTTATATGAATCCATTTTCGAAAATGCGTAGGTCGAATTGGTGCTTTCGTAAATATCCGAACGAATGAATTAGTCCAAAAATATTTTAGGAGCTTATTCATTCTAGTAATACTAGCCTACACTTCTCTTTTCTCGATTATTAATTAATAATTTTGTTAAAGACTCCGTGAAAAGCATTGTCCAATAATAAACTTTACTCGTATCAAGCATAAAGCTTGTCTTTATAAACTTTATTTATCAATCTTGATATTTGAAATACTTTAATTTTTATAAACAAATAAATTTTCAAATAAAGAATTTTCAAAGTGTAATAATTATACGTTGAATAAATAAAAAAAAAAAACAATTACTTAAAAATCTTATCTACGTATAAATGTATTTCATCGTTTTTGTTGAAAATTTCATCATCATAAGGCAAATAAAATTTGCAAATATTTTACTCAATACTGTTTCAAAATTTTATAAAAGATTATTAATACATTCGGCATATATGTTTTCACGCGTGTAGTTAAACATTTTCAAATAAAACGCATCATATTGTATATATATCCAGTGTAAGTGAAAAATGTAAATCTGTTTTCAAGAGTATTTTTTTAATTCAATATTAATTAAATATAACTTAATATGTGCTTTTCAAATTCATATTTCATTTCATATCAAATACTTTCAGCTATTAAAGTGAGAAACATACCTTTAAATCGTAATGTACGAATAACTAGATATTTGCTCGTCAGTATTCAAGTATCAAATATCTAATAGAAATATTTATAGGTACGTTCGCTCCGAAAGTGTTTCACTTCTGACGTAAAGATGTACGCATAATGCCGATTGTACAAAAATGATAAAAGATGTATTGACGAACCTTTGGCTGGCTTGCCGATACCACTTCTTACTACCACTCGGATCATTCTCGTTTAGCGGCGTATTAGGCCCTGTGTCTCCATGCGCATTGCTATTTTCAAGCTCCATGATTAGCTGCAATTTAAAAAATCCAATAAATATCTTTTTCTCTAAATACTTAACATTATTATGTGGCAATATTTTATATTATTAATTGCATGTTAAAAATAAAATAATTGAAATAAAAATTCATCAAAGAATAACCAACAAAGTTCTCTTAACAAACATAATATAAAAATTTTTTTCACGCTATGATTAATATGAAATTCGGATTGTTAAGGGCGAATCATAAATTTGCTGCATTACAGTGATAACTATATGTGCTAATACTCGCGCGTGCTTACTTCGAGTGCTGCGGTGGATTTTGTCGCGTTATCACGTAGAAATTGATAAATTGATATAGAGCAAATTGCAAGCAATAAATTTGTAAACGTTGCTGTTGTAAAAAAACAGTAGAACGAGAAGTGAAAATCGGTTAATAACTTCTACAAAAACAGATTTTATACTAATTGTCGGCTTTTCTTTCCATCACGAATAAATAGAGGTTTTTGCAGCATTCACAACATTGAAATAAAGGCTGCACAAAATTCTACCGAATTTTAACCCCTGTAGCAAAAGTATTCAATTATCTGCTTTCGTGATTCGTAATTAACAGATATCGCGGTACATTAAGCCGCGCGACACTGACAGTCATTTCCTTCAATTCATCATTGTCGTTGGGACAAGAATCAGTCCGATCTTTGTTCAAGTTACACAATACAGTTTGCTCGCGCGTTATTGTTGACACGAGAAAGAAAAATAAATGGCTCGTTTGTGCTCGCACAATTTTAATTGTCAGTGTTGTATTAACGCGGAAATGGACATTCATCTTCATACCTCGCAGACACGTTTCTTTTATCGCGTACTTTCACGGATGTTGATAAAAGGTGGTGGCTCCCGCTCGCAAAATCGTTCGCGATATTACGAGCTGTCATCTGAAAGTGACAGACCGTATCTCACAACCTCACACAATGCAGCTCCTCTGCGTACTGAGGTCAATTCACTGAACTATGGTGACCTCGGCAGCAGGTATGCCAATCAGTTGCAGCGAAAAGTCCCTGAAGTGCCTTATGCGTGAAATTCGATCGGTGCGATAAGGAAAACGTATCTCCGCGATTAGAGGTTAACCGCGATAATAATATGACGACAGCACAATAGAATTGATGATTCGCGACAGAAATATTCGCGGTTATATATAACATCGGCAACAATATATTTCTTATTGTGGCGACATTGTTATGTGTTACACGCGCAAAAATGTGAATGTAATGAATTGAAACATGTAGAACAGAACGTAATAGATTCAACTTCTTATGCGGCATACAAATTGTTTCTTTAAAATAAAAATAACATAAAGATATGTCGCAATCATTCTAATGGTTTATTTTCAAATCTGCATAGGACGAATTTTAAATGTAATGAGGTTAACTGCGAGTAGTTTTAATAATAGATTATTGAAAATTTTACGTGTTTTTACTGTAAATGTCTTTGTCTTTGTATATCTAGTGAATATTTTTTATATTTTAAAGTGTGTGTATATATAAAGATAAGAAAAACATACATTCAGAAAACTTAAAAACAATATGAATATTGTTATCTTAATATTGTTATCTTGTATAACTTTTTTAATGTGAATATCTAGCAGTTTCTTTTATTCAAGATTGCTGATTATGAATTGATATTAATCAATGTAAAGGAAGAATATCGATTCTAAAACGTCAAACTTTGTTACTACGTTTTCTTCATCTTTGTTTAGTTATATGTGATCGAGTATTGTTAGAAATGCAAGTCATTGTATTATAAAGCAAAAAAATTTTACAAAAAATAAGACCTTTAAAAATATATAGGCAAAGTTGTCGTTCCTAAAAAAAATCATCCAAGCATCTGCATTGAATGACGATGTAAAATGAAAGGGTTAGAAATGGGTCGAATCATTTGATCTCTGTACTCTGTATGCAAGACATTGGAAAACGCACGACGCGAACGTGATAGGAGCAGGTGATAATGACATATAATTAAATAGTAAATGCACCTGTCGGATAGTCAAGGCACGAATAACACGCGGAACACTCTGACCCGTAAAAGCGTCGGTGGCTGCGGCGGAGAAAGACGATTTCGTCAGTAGCTCTGTCGTGCGTAATCCGTCGGTCCGTTGTCGGCTGAGCGACGATATCCACGGAATAATAGAGGGAATAGTAGGAGAAGGAAATAAAAACCTGTGTTTCGCGATTCTCGCGAGCCTCCACCACGCGTACACGCCGCTTATCATCGTCGATCGGTTCGGCACGCACGATCGTCGAAGAAAGCGGGGAACACGGGTGTCGCGGATGTAATGCGTCCGCACCGTCGTCGTGAACGTGAACAATTACGTCGATCGTGGTCGGTCATCGGTATTGCGTAAAATTAATCCGATTTAGGTGACCTCGCGGATGCGACATAACCTACAAATCTAAAGCAAAATATAGTATCGCGGATACCATTGTGTTGGCTGGCTGTGCGTCGCGTCTCCCGTTTGGCAGACCTACGGTGGCTGAGCGTTATCACGTAGTCGCAGTGGATCGCTTTCGGAGTGATCGACGAAAGAAATACATTGTCCCGTCATTATCCGCGCGATACGATATCTGGCGAGAACGATGCGTCGTACAGCGCGCGGATCACGGTGAGAAAACCTGACGACGCAGCAGCAACGCTCGCGTCGCGCGTCGTACCGTGGCCCAACCCACTTTTGATTTGTGTGCCGCTCGCAGTGCCGAAAGGTCCCCGAACCATGTACCCGCGGTGATACCTCGAGACTTCCTCGAGCAGCAGTGTATTTCTCCAGCAATCCGAGCGGTCCTAAATATTGTGTTGCGTTGCCTCCGCCTACAGGCGCTTCGAATGGGTATGAAATTTGCGCGACGACGATACATCCAATCCGACGATCTTAACGCGTCGACATAACCTTTAAACCATAACGACATTACTTTTTGGATTTTGCCACATATTCGGTTTGCTCGAATCAGCGCGGATCGTCATTATTGGAAAGCGTGACGTTTATTGTCACTCTACTTGAGTTTGACCACGCGGAAGCGATGATCCGTCTTTAAACGACAAAAACGTCACGACTTACCTGTCTGCCTGTGCGCCTTCTCATATTTGATTGTACATCGCTCAATTGTGTTGCTGCGTTTTTTTGCCTCCTAGTATCACATGTATTACGTGTACGTACTATTGTACTACGTGTTCATTGTATCGATGAACATTTGTATTGAATTTGATGATGTTTAATTTGATTCTGTTCCGTATATTTTCGTTTTCACAAGACGACGTTATATTAAGCATATTGTCTATTCTTCATCATTGAGTTCATTTAATAAATTTTGTTTCTCACGCAACAAATTTGTGTTTTATTTTGCGTACTTGCACTTTCATACATATCACCACCTATTTTTCCTTCTGTGTCAATTTTGCTCATACTACCTGTAAGTATGCATAAAAGAATCTTATTTAAAATTTGCACTTTATCATCACGCAAAACATCTCAGATATAATTTTATAATTTTCATTAACTGAAAAAAGGACTGATTGTTATATGTAATTTGCTTCGTCAAACATTTAACATAATTTTAAATTATTAAGAAATATCCAGATTAATTATTAAAATACATAAAACTATGATTATCAGATTAGTTTTAATAAAATTTATGCGTTTTTCTCTGCTTTTATAGCTAAATAAAAAGTTATAATATAAATCATAATAATCATTTTCTACTAATTATCAAAGCGATGGTGTACTAAGAAATCAAACGTCAACATTTGTGGACTAAGCAATTGAAAAAAATCTTCAAGAAAAAATGAATAATCAAGCGTTTAGTTTGGCGGAGAGGCTTATACCTTCCACTTATGTACAACAAGGTTTAAACGCTAAGAAATCTCGTGAAAACCTTATACGTCATTTTATCGAACATGTAAGTCATAATATGTAGTAAATATTTGCATGTACATAAAAAATCAAAGATACATACATTTTTATTACATGATATTTATCCAACAGCGAAAATGGCCAGAAGAAGGTTGGGACGATGCAACAATAGAGGCGTTTCTGTCAGATCTATCGCAAATGGATAGCAATAATTTTCCCTCAAACTGTAGTGTTGGTGAACGTGAAGCGAGGATTGTATCAAATCTTGTTGCAAGACGACACTTTCGTATGGGACATGGCATAGGCAGATCCGGTGATCTAGAAGAAGTACAACCAAAAGCTGCTGGTAGCAGTTTAATGTATAAATTAACGAATTCTTTAGTGCTCGAAGTTATACGATATATGGGTAAGAAAATAATCAGAAATATATTTAGAATTAGATGAAGAATTTAATACTCTTCAAACATACTTATTATATTGCAAAAGAAATAAATATTTATAATTGAGAATAATTATAAGTCACTATTGTATTAATCAAATAGTTTTTGTTCTTTTTCATTTTGTTTCGTTAATATTAGAGCTATACATTTTTATATTTTATATATACATATAAAAAGAATAAATTTCTTGATAAAGATACCAAATAAATTTTATTATTTGATAATGATAGAATGTATATTTAATGTTTAAATTATTAATAATGATAATAAAAATATATTCAATTGCAGGAGTAAAAAGCATAGCAGGTTGCTTTTTATCACCAATGGCCACTGGAATGAGTCTAGTTCTATGTATGTTAACACTTAAGCAAGACAGACCACGAGCAAAATATGTTTTATGGCCTAGAATTGACCAAAAATCTAGCTTCAAATCTATAATCACAGCCGGATTAGAACCCATTGTTATCGAAATGCAAATAATAGGAGATGAATTAAAAACCGACTTACAGAGACTTGAAGCCCAAATGGCAGCTTTAGGCGAAAGTGTGGCTTGTGTACTCACAACAACCAGTTGCTTTGCACCCAGAGCGTGCGATTCTGTAGATGCGATTGCAGCTCTCTGCACTCAATATAATATACCACATCTGGTAAACAATGCGTATGGGTAAGTAATAAGATACATAATTTTCGATCTGTATTTCCAGATCGATACCTTGATGTTAAAACAATCAATGTTATTCTTTAACTCAAAATGTAGAACATTCTTCCTCGAAAATTACACAATGTCATTGATTGTTCTAATTTCAAGATAATAATATATTTTTGATTAAAAATTATTTTACTAAATATATTACACTATATTGCTAAAAGCTTGCAGAGTACAAGATGTATGCACCTTATACAAGAAGCGTCAAGAAAGGGTCGTGTAGATGCTTTCGTTCAAAGCACGGACAAGAACTTTCTAGTTCCAGTGGGTGGTGCCATTATAGGTTCCTTCGATAAAAATCTTTTGGATCGCATATCGAAAATGTATCCGGGACGTGCGAGTGCAAGTTCCGTTATGGATGTGATGATAACACTGTTAAGTCTTGGAATGGCAGGGTACAAACAATTGATTGCTCAACGTAAAGAGATGTATTCTTATCTGAAAGAAGAATTGGGAAAATTAGCAACAAGGCATGGAGAGAGGCTGTTAGACACTAAGGGCAATCCAATATCCATGGCTATGACTCTTCAATGTCTAAGCCATCAACATGATAACAAGCAAGTTACTATGCTAGGATCAATGTTATTTCTGCGTAACGTTAGTGGTACTAGAGTAATAACAACTACAGATTCTAAGCACATCGTTTCACATAAATTTGAAGGTATGTACTTATAAAAGCTTAACTAGATAATGTTTTAAGAATACATTGTATTTATCGAGATTTAATATATTCAAGTCAGGAAAATGTTAGCAATGTTGGCAGATCATCAAATTTGATCAAATTTGCTGTCAATTTGTTAACATTCCTAACATTTGGCTATCTGAATATACTATTTTTTATATCATTTATACATCTGGACAATTTAATTTAAATTTGTGTACTTTACCTTTGTCGAAAGTAATTTCAATTTCCTAATATCTGTTCGCTTCAATCGCTAACAGGCTGGGGTGCACACAACAGTAATTATAGAGTGCCATATCTAACTGCTGCGGCCGCATTAGGCATGAAGAGATCTGATGTGGATGCATTCATACAAAGATTGGATAAAGCTTTAACGAAAGTAAGGAGGCGTTCTGCGCCAGTAACGCCCACCGCTTCGCTCGCCGGTTCCAGCATCAATGGAGATGCAGGTGGCACTGGTGGACCAGGAGAATCTAGTACCGCCTCAACCAGCCGTGCAAGTAGCAAAGACAGTCTGAGAAAATGAACCGTAATCAACGCAACTGGCCAGTCAAATCAGCATATTAATCTCAATTTGTAAGCGACTTGTCGCTTATGAATTGACATCTGTAGCATGTTTCTGAGAAATGCAATTTGACACAATCGTTTATTTATATCAACCATGTTTATGTTGACAGGAGTTATTCAGAATCTTATTATAAAAAAACTTTTAAAATTTAAAAAGATTTTACAATATATTTTCCATAAAAAAATATATTGTATAACTTTCGCACAATGAAAACATTTCCTTCCCTGCTTTTTTTTAAGCAACACAATAAAACAATATTTATTACTGAGTTAAATTATAAGAAATAGTGGTCTATATGCATTTTCACAGACACGTGCTAGATACAAATGTGCTGATTCGTCTGTCCACTTGCGTTGAGATATTGTCAATTTAAATCATTATACCAAAAGAGAATGAGTGTCTTCAGACATTAAAGAGTGATCATCAAAGTTAATACTTGAAAAAAAAGAAAAAGGAAAGGAAACACGAAGCATTAAGATTATTATGGCTCTGTTTTAAGAGATTTAAGTGATAAGCGCTGGCCGCCGATATAATTGTTAAGTATGTTCTTTGTTGAAATGCTATTATTTATCAAGACATAAACAGAGAACATTGAATTCTTATATTTAACTCTCTTTTCTCTTTCTTGCTTTCTAATATTGTAGTTTGATATAAACAAATAAGAAAAATATTAACCAAATCATACATACTTGCTTCATATAGTAAATTTCTTTTCTAAAAAAGCAATGTCATACAATTCTGTCGATATATGTAGCAATATTCACAATTTAATTGTTTCTAATATTTATGCATTATTGCTGAAAACTATTGTATTTTTTATGCAATTAACTCACCTATATAGTACTGACTTATACATTAATTATGGCATATTATTTATTAGCCTTGAATAGAGAGACGGCATATAAGAATGAATTTTTTCCTCTCTTATTTAAACGGAATATATTCGTGTTTACAGCATTAGTAAGAAGATACACATTACCTGTAAAAAAAGGAGGCTGTAGTAAAATATTTATGGAAATACATTATTAGGAAGTATGTCAAAATTTAGATATATAGTATACACAATGACACAACCTGATATATACGAAAATGTTACATTGGGTTTACAGAAAGACTGTAAAATCTTCGTATAGATATTGTATGTTGGTTTATATAAAAAAATGGCAAGAATTAGGACACAATATCATTTGTGTTTAATGCACGTTAATGCATATTGTGTTTAATGCGTTTTTAATGTAGATAATGTTATTTCTTTTTTAATTGTATTGTTGCATAATAAATAGAATATCAAAGGTAGGAGTATATGTTATGAGAATATTAAGATTATTTGAAATATTTAGCGATTTGCAAGCAAATTACATCACATGAAACTACCATTTAACTCACATATTTAGACATATAAAAAAGTATGTTTATACGTATATATAAAAATACCTGTATCAGTATATATACAGATATTCATACTTGCACAATTTATTGCGTATAAAGGATAGTTTATTTGAAGTTTTATGCAATTTAGAAAATAGTATATATTCGAAGTTATATTTATAAATATTTAATAGAGATAAAAGGAAAGAAACCAATAGGAGGAAATTATTAGTACTGCTAAAATTTTATCAAATATATACATATAGTTTTAATGCCTATCCCACTTTCTTTAGATGAAGATATCAATTGCTTGTACAATATTATATTTGTTGTAATTTGGATTTTGTAGTATGTATTTTATATGTTCAATGCTAACGTTGAAGTTATTAGTTAGTACTTGATGTGTGAAGTTAATAACAGAGCAGAATGACTTTAAATCACCACCAAAATTTTTAAAATGTATTATTATTATGAGTAAGAAAAAGCAGTGATATACACAGATTAGCATTTAATTAAAGCTTAATTGTGATAGCTTATTAGAGCAAGTGCTAATCAAGATTTTGTGAAGCTCTTAGTAATAATTATATATCCTATTATAATATAATTATATATATAGATTCATATTTTTCAATTAATTATACTCGCTATATTCTTCATAATGAAACAGTTCTTTAATATATGCACAAATATCACTTTTGGTTTTCAAAACATATTGGTATTTTAATTTACAGGTTATCCTTAATCCTTATATTCAGCCACCCTTTATCCAAAATAAAATTTTTTTGTTCTAAAACACTTATTTTTTTCTTAGTAAAAAAAATTAAGAAAAATTATCATTTGTCATAAATTTTGGTTCTTGACATTAAAAACATGTGTTTAAAACATTTGATTAATTATAGAATTAAGTCTTTTAAAATTTATTAAAACTAAATAAAGCATTTTCTGTTCATATTCTTTAATTTTTGAAAATCTCTTTACTTTTCATAGTTTAATTGTTTAACATTTTATTGTTAAAAAATAATCCATTTCATATCATTCAGAAAATTTCTATGTAGAAGGTGGCTCAGTAGATTTGAAACATCCTATGTGATATTTATTATTTTAGATAAAACATTATATAGCTACTATATTATGGCCTTAACATTTATATGTTTCTTTAATTACTTATTTTGAGACAGAATATTACATACAGAAAAAATCTAAGATGTAGTAAAAAAAATAGCAAAATTATTGCTATAAGATCATATATAAAGCTATAATAAGAAAAATATATTGACGTTATATATTATTTAATAAAGAAGAATATATGTATATATACATATATACACAATATATGTAGAGCAATCTTTATATCAAGTGAGACATCAATGCACTCAAGCTATTTCTAATGATTATACTTATAATATATATCGTATATTTAAATTTTTTACGTTTTATTATATTTATATAATTGCCATAACTATGGTTACTAAATTGAGCAATAATTATAATATATATTTCTTTTATTCTATGCAATCACTGAAAATATTGGAATTTCTTATAGTAACAAAACAAATCATCCTATATAAGTATATATGTATACATGTATATATACATAAGCATATATCTAATAATAGAAAAATATTCTAGAATAGCATATGGTCTTATAACTTACTCACAACATTCCTATGTAAATAAAGAAGTCTATCTTATTTTATTCACTTCCATTTTCAGCTGGATTTTGTACGATGAAGGCCAGCTTTACTTATATATCATTGCGCCTTTTATGCAAACAACGATATTTGTGGACCTAATTTTTCATCCTCTTTAAGTTTCACGTCTGATATAGACACTTTGACTGCAGTTATTGTCTTTTATAACGATAAAGTATATTCTAACAGACAGACAGCGAATGTGTTGATCCAAAGCACCTGCATTCAAAAGAAAATAACGTATTTATATAAGTAACATAAAATAAATCAATCTCCACCATATTATTAAATTTAGTGCGTTGGTATGTATTGTGTGTGCAACAGTTAAGGCTTATCGAGTATACAATATACATGTAAAGCGAAACAAGATAATCATTCTCGTACAACCAAGAAGCATTTGGTTTTTTAACATGTATCGACATTTAAATAGTACACTGCTAACATTGTATATATGCAGTTGTTTTAACAACAACATTTTTAATGGCTCATTTAATGGCTCATTCAGGCTCATTTAAGATATGTAAGAGCAAAATTTCAGGCACATAAGCTAAGCACCATGTAGGCACAGGCATGTTGCCTGCCTATTGCATATGCTATCATGTAATACAATATCCTTTTAATCGCAGTTTATATATTATTTGTACGCCGATACTTTGGCATATATATACTTAAGTAATGAATCTAAATCCATAATAAATCCGAAATGATCGGAAAACAAAAAGATGTACAGAAATAACTTGATAATTGAACAAACTGAATGAAATGATTGGTCAAACAAATGCGATTTCAAGCCTTCATGTTTTGAGAAATTATTCTGTCTGGCTTTTCTCATTTAACTATATATTTAAGGAAAGATATGATACGATACGTGATACGCTAAATATTAATCAAACATTAGATATGTAAACAGCGTAATGTATGAGCTCTTCCCTAAATATGTGATTATATTGTAATAGTTAATGCTTTATTTGTAATATATGCAACTATTGAATAAATAAATATAAAAACTGTTAAGCAATATATTGTATGATTTAAATAAAAAACTCTACTGATAGCGTTTTAAATCTGCCATCCATTTGTCATACATTATCACAAAGGTTAAGAATTTTCTTAAAAGTTCTATTTTTTAATTTTTTGCATATTTCAGATGCTATTATCATGTTTTTTTATAGAATTAGCAAATATTATTTTGTTTATTCAATATGTATACTATACTATAAACAAAAATTAATATGAAAAGTGTTTATACTAAGAATTATGTTTTAAAAATAGAAATATACGTAAAAAAATATACTTAACAAAATTTTAAATTATTTTGTATATCAAATAATCCTCTATTTTACCAGAAATTGGCTTTCTAAGCTTTGGTTGGCCAGCCTGATGTTTGACGAACATAACAGACAAGAGATGGCGCTATTAAAGTTCGCGCGAATTTTTAAAACACAATTTTTCCCGTATATATAATTCATTTTTACATCAATAATTAATAGTTGTTTATAAGTTAAATATCAAACAGGATTTCTTTACATGGCTATTGTTATGCAATAATTTGACATGAACTATTAAAATGTTTATAATCGTAATTGTTAATTAGCATTATAAACGATGTAACAATTTTATAGCAACTTGCACGTTGACATTGTGAACGTCGGTGGAATCATGAAATCGTAAAAGATTCTTATGTTTGCTAAAGGAGCTTTTAGTTATAAACAATAATAACATTCACGGCTGTGATATATACCATTTAATAAATGTTTGTCGTTTGTAACTTATCTTAGGATTTTTATAAGCAGCGTGAAAAGTGATCGACGAAAGATAACCTAAGTTGACATATGCCACAGGTGCATATATCAGAGAAAATAGTGATCGTAATAAGTTTTAAACATTGTAAGATTACATTTTTATCTTATTACACAAAATTTGCTTGAAACGTCTAACAATTTGAATTCAGAAATTACTTATACGATATAAATTATCTTTTGTCACCTTTTGCTGAAAAAACTGCTAATGTTAATGTTAAATTTGTGTCAATTTGTATTAATTTTCCTTATATATTTCTAAAATAACGTATATGCATTGTATTGTTATATGGCAACACTAGACATACTAACATATGTTTAGAAATGAGAATAATCACAACATCTTTATTTCAGTATAATTGAAATGGTGAAGAATAAACCACAAGAAAAATCTGTAAAGATAAAAGCTAAATCTGTGAATGCAAACTCAGTTAAGACAAATAAAAGTTTTCCATTATCGATGAATTCTACTATCACTGTTATATGTATTGCCATTGCTGCTTGGTTTGGATATAAAGGATATCTTGAAACAAGAGTAAATACCCCATATGATGGAAACAAGGCATGTATAATATCACATAAAAGTTTATAATTTTTTTATCTTTAAAAATTTATATAGAAGAGTAAGTAGTACAGAATGCATAATTTAAAATCTCATTAACTTATATTTAAATAATATTTTAAAATATGAAATATATATGCATTGGTTATCGAGTCTCTCTATGTAAAAAAAGGATTCTTTTATAGAGAATAAAACACTAGAGATCATAAATTTTATTTTCTATAATAGAATTTTAAAGATATTAATCTTGTACATCTAGCATAGAATTAAATATCGACAAATTTTTAATTTTGTCAACTTGAATATTGTTTGAAAACTAGGTAGTTATTGCATCTGGCTTGGATATTCCAGACAGATATTGGGGTACCTACAGATCTGGTGTATATTTTGGTTTAAAAACAAGAGATCCACATTCTTTAGTAACTGGTTTGATGTGGTATTCTCCACATATTCTACGCTATGATGGAAGCGTACTTAGACACTGGTGTGATCAAGGTGATAAATTAGATAGGTACTGTATCTTCTTATCTTTAGTGATATAGATTTTGTCAGTGTAGCTAACCAATGTTTAAATGTCAGATATGCATGGCTGGAGCATGATGGACGAACGTTTGGTGTTCAGGAAATAGTAGATAAGTCCATAATTTTAAGAACGACATTTGTCAAAAGACCTGGTGGATATCATGGTGGTGATTGGACCGCAAGAATTGCAGTATCACAAAAGAAAGAAAACAGTAGAGAAGAGATATCATTGTTATTTTACACTGCTATCGAAGAAAGTACAAAAGGTTGGATAAAGGCTAATCTAGGGGACTATAATCGCTTAACAGGCATAGAAGGAAACACACAAGGATTGGGATCTTTTGCTATAAACCTAAATTTAATAAATGGCACTGTAGAGGAGCATTCGTTTTTGGCAACAACTGCTTCTGGGTTAAATGTGTTGAAAGAAACTGTTTTGCAAAATCTTCGTATCGCAACCCAGAAGGGATCCGCGGAGAAACATATAGTTTTAGCCGGCGAACAATTACTATTATCGCCTGAAGGCAAGAAAAAGGATCCAAATTTCATCGTTACTCAAGTAACAGGAAAAGTTCCTTTCGAGATTGAAGTTAGTTACGAATCTGGCAGTTTTAGTAATAGAATAGACAAGTTAACAGGCCAGAACTATGACGAGGCTCTCGACAAGCAGAGGCAATTGTTCTCGAAGAAATTTGAAAATGTTTTTAAATTGAAATCAAAGGGATACACGGACGACGAAATGACGTTCGCAAAGATGGCATTCTCAAATCTCATAGGCTCGATAGGTTACTTTTACGGAACTTCGCAAGTGCAAAGTACGTATACACAGGGACCTGTGCCTTATTGGAAAGCGCCTTTGTACACTGCTGTACCCAGCAGAAGCTTTTTTCCTCGAGGTTTCCTGTGGGATGAAGGTTTTCACGGTTTACTTATCTCAGTCTGGGACACGGAGATAGAATTAGATATTATAAGCCATTGGTTCGATCTGATGAATGTCGAAGGTTGGATCCCTAGAGAGATGATTTTGGGCCAGGAGGCTCTGGCTAAAGTGCCCGAGGAGTTCGTAACTCAAATCAATACAAATGCCAATCCGCCCACATTTTTTTTAACGCTGGACTTTATGCTTAAGCATAAAGAGCAAGAATTATTGATGCATAATTTCAAGATCCTCGACAAACTATATCCACGATTGCAAGCGTGGTTTTCATGGTTCAACGTCACGCAAGTCGGCGATCTACCCAGCACATACAGATGGCGAGGCAGAGATGAGACAACTAATAGAGAATTGAATCCTAAAACACTGACATCCGGCTTGGACGATTATCCTAGGGCTTCTCATCCCACCGCTGCCGAGCGTCACGTTGACTTGCGTTGTTGGATCGCGTTCGCTGCTCGCGTTATGGCTAAAATTGCTGAAACGTTGAGTTATCCTGCCCAAAAATACCAAGAAACATTCGAATATCTATCCGACAACAACTTGTTAAACAAATTGCATTGGTCACCAAATGCTCAAGCGTATTCGGATTACGGTTTACACACCGACAAAGTGGCTCTACGGAGACCTCCACAAAAACAGCGGTCTCATTCGCAATCCGTACGTATGGAAATGGTCCGTGTCGTTTCGGAGGAACCGTCGTTGAAATTTGTCGATACCACCTTTGGATACGTTTCGTTATTCCCTTTTATTTTGCAAATTGTGGAACCTGATTCGTCACAGTTGGGGAAGATATTGCAGGATCTACGAGATCCGTACCTTCTCTGGACCAGATATGGATTACGTTCACTCGCGAAAACATCGCCGTTGCACATGAAATACAATACAGAACACGACCCGCCTTACTGGCGCGGTCCTATCTGGATGAATCTAAATTACTTGACAGTACGGGCTGCATATTATTATTCTAACGTGGAAGGGCCGCATCGGGAACATGCGAAAAAGATATATGAAGAGTTGCGAAAGAATTTGATACAGAATATTATTAAGCAATATAAAAAGACCGGATATTTGTGGGAACATTATGATAATAGTGAAGGAGAAGGCAAAGGAAGTCACCCTTTCACCGGTTGGACTTCCTTGGTTGTATTGCTTATGGCAGAAATATATTAGATATTCTAATATACAATGTCAAACTTTACTATTAAAAACTGTTTTACCAAAAGTGGAACCAAAAGTGGAATCAAAAGACATTGCGAGTGTTCACTTAGAATTATTATATATGATCTATTAGTAGCAATATATGTTTAAACTACACAAAAGGATAGTAATTATATAATTATACTATTTTTCACTATGTAATTATATTATTATTGTTATTTTTTTATTATGTTATATCAGGAGTTATTGTTATATATTTGAGAAAAAAAATCATCTTTTTCTTATAAAGCACATAAAGCTATAAAAGCATATATAATTATATTAATTAAGAAGATTATGTATGTGTGTTGTGTGTATCTGGTATTCTTGATAAATTTTGTACTCTAAATAATTAGATTTCTTCTAACACTTATTTCTCTTTTAACAACAGCACTTCTATAAGTAAGACAGCATTTTAATAATAAATTGTGATAGTAATATCATATACATGTTAGTATGGTATTATTGATTTAATAAAATATTCTATATTTATGTTAAATACATATTTTGGATAAAACAAATTCTTTATTTTCACATATTAAGTGAATTAAATGAGTATCTTGTTATTTTAATTTTGTTAATATAAATTGTCATAATTTTTAAAACAAAATTACAATGGAGAAATGGTATTGTAAATTATTAACAGAAAGGTTATCAATATCTCAAATCTTGGCTGTGATTCACTAAAAACTTGTAATCTTAAGCTTGTATATTGTAATCTTAAGCTATCTTTAAAAGCGCAATGTTTTATCATTGTCATTCTAGCATAACTTTGCTCACAATAATAAATACTTATTTTTATGAGTGCACATGTACTCTTGCTAATCTAGCCAGTTTCTCAAATTGCTTTTGAAATAAAAATGTAACCTGCATATATCATAATAAAATACTATTATTTATACAACATAAATTGATATAAATTAATATCAATGTTTATTGTTATTTATTTGAATAAAATTTTGATTTTATGTTTTACTTCATACTATTAATTTTATGATTTATTATGTATTATGAAAGTATATATACATATTTTATATTTATTTAAAAAATCTGAATAGTCCAATACAAATTTAAAGTATGAAAATGATTGAAACTTTATTTTCTTTATATTCTCAAAATCAGAAATATCTAACATATAAATGCATCTATTAAAAATTTAAGATAAGTTATAAATCTTATAAAGATGACTAATGACATAATTACTGCTAAATTTATTATAAATTTAGAACATCAAAACACCACTTTTTCATCTTGTAAAAATAATTGACTCTATTTATTTTCACAATTTTCTATAAATATGTATAATTTTTAAGACACTTGTAGAGTTTAACTTTCAAATTGATTTATGGAAAAGAAATAACCTTACAATATAAGAAATATGTGGAACATATATTTTTATTTATATAAACAAATTTTTCACGCAATATTGAACAATATCTGACACTGGTCTGACACTAACCTGAATCCTAACCTAATTTAATTTTAACCTAACCTTACTCTATTTTTTTTCGAACCACGGTTGGCATGCCTGCTTGCGAAGTTCAAGAATGTTTCGAGAAGCGATTCTCGGATCGCTGATGACTCCCTTCAGACGCCTCGCTAGGTGTGTGCTTGTGGGGTTACGATCATAGGTTTTCGATTGAAACAAAGTAACGTGAATATTTCTATTTCATATTATGGAGCCGTATGATGTAATTGTTAATCAGCCAGTGGTTATTGACAACGTAAGTGTCTGTCGTATAATTTTATTCGCGTTTATACTATCGAGAAAGAACGATATGTCAAACTTCACCAAATAATGTCGGTCGTGAAAATTGACAGAAATACCATAATTATTGCTTAAAAGGACATAAAATTAATTGTTTTTACTATTTTTTTCATTTATTGCTTTTTTTCCTGTCTGTAAGTGAAAATATGGGTGATTATTTTTTATTATCGGTAGTCTAGTAGATGACGAGATACGCAAACTTTCCTGGGATCGATAGCATTATTGCTATATACTTCTGCTTTTGTCTTATTTAGGGATCTGGCGTTATCAAGGCAGGGTTTGCAGGTGACCAAATACCAAAATGCAGATTTCCGAATTAGTAAGTACCAGGAAAGAACGGAGTTTAATTAATATTCATGGTAGCGCCTCTTGTTTTTGGAGGTTATTGACAGGTGGCAAGTTATTCTGATTATGCACATAAAATGATCTTATTCGAGATGGAAGATTGTTTCTAATTTATTATTTATTATTTCTAATTTATTATTATTTTAAAGAGATGCATTGTGTTTTAGACAAACTATAAAATATATCTTAGGTATACTTAAAGTTATAAATAATTAAAATATTAAAAAATCAATTGTTTTATCTTTTTTAAAACATTGTTTATGAGAGGAATTTTTAAATAAATTGGACTGTTATTTTTTATGCACCTATTATTGTGTAATATTATTGTATGACATTATTTATTAATATAAAATGTAATGCATAATCTTTAGTATTGGAAGGCCAAAACATGTACGTGTTATGGCTGGTGCTTTGGAAGGAGATTTGTTTGTGGGTCCAATAGCGGAGGAACATCGTGGCCTTTTATCTCTTCGGTACCCTATGGAACACGGTGTAGTCACAGATTGGAATGATATGGAACGTATTTGGTCTTACGTTTACAGTAAAGATCAGTTAGCTACATTTAGTGAGGAACATCCAGTCTTACTTACAGAAGCACCTTTAAACCCCCGAAAGAATCGTGAGAAGGCAGCTGAAATATTTTTTGAAACATTTAATGTGCCAGCTTTATTTGTTTCCATGCAAGCTGTACTTAGTTTGTAAGTAATCTTCACAATAATCGATATAAATAATTTATAATTTTTAATTTTGTGATAATGTGATATGACAAAAATTTATTATACTCTTTGTTATTTATTAATATAGATATGCAACAGGCAGAACTACAGGAGTAGTTCTAGATGCTGGCGATGGTGTCACACATGCTGTACCTATTTATGAAGGTTTTGCTATGCCTCACAGTATAATGCGAGTTGATATAGCAGGACGTGATGTTACAAGATACCTTAGGTTACTTTTACGCAAGGAAGGTATTAATTTCAAGACCACAGCAGAATTTGAGATTGTCAGAACAATTAAAGAGCGAGCATGCTATCTTGCTAGTAATCCCCAAAAGGAAGAAACGATAGAGACTGAGAAGTTTCAATATGTTTTACCTGATGGCAGTCATTTGGAGGTAACAAAATAATTAAAACTCACAACAATAAATAACAAAATATTGTATATGGTAAAATATGCAATATTATTCTGAAATAATATAAGCGCAAACTGTTTTCACATATATATTTTATTAAATATAGATTGGTCCAGCACGATTTAGAGCTCCTGAAGTGCTTTTCAGACCAGATCTGATAGGTGAAGAATGCGAAGGCCTTCATGAAGTTTTAACATACTCCATTCAGAAATCTGATTTGGATTTGAGAAAAGTTTTATTTCAAAATATTGTTCTGTCAGGAGGATCGACATTATTCCGCGTAAGCACAAATTTATATATTTACATCTTACAAAAACAAATTATTATATATATAATAATATGTGATTCTCATGTCCATTGCTTAGGGTTTTGGGGACAGACTATTATCGGAGATTCGTAGAATGTCGCCAAAGGATATTAAAATAAGGGTAAGAAAAGCAAAAAATAATTTTTAAAAAGGAGCAAAAATTTAGTAAACTTTCGATAAAAATTATTGTCAAAAATTCAATTATTTAAAAATAATATTATGCATAATCAATATTTCTGTTATAATAGATATCCGCGCCGCAAGAACGATTATACAGTACTTGGATCGGTGGTTCCATTTTGGCATCTTTAGACACATTCAAAAAGATGTGGGTCAGTAAAAGAGAATTTGATGAAGATGGTATACGTGCTATTCATCGTAAAACGTTTTGAACTTAATTTAGAAAAGCTTTCGAAAATGTTATATCAATTAATTTTATTATTAATATAAAATGATGGCACACACTTGGCACGATAACAAAACGTATTGCAGCAAACATATTCTTAATTGTTTTGTATAGTAACTCGTATAATTTCTATCATTATTTCAAGGGATCATTACTCATGCATTTTTAATTATATTTTTAATCATGCTATAATGCAAAAACGATATTAATTTGTTGTTTCATTTTTGTTTATTAATCTATTAATAACTTTATTTTGATAGGAATATATATATATATATCTATGATGGTTTCGCAATTCAATTATTTAAATACATAGAATATTTCTGCAAATATTTTATGATATGATAAAGAAAAAAGAAAACGTAAAAGATCCCTTAGAAATATAAATGTCTTCTGGAATCAATGCGTCACTTAAATTACTTCAAATTATCAATTTTAGAACTTATTTATTTATTTATATATTTATGCTGTGGTCAGTCTTGTTATGTGTATTACAATGAAGCACGTAATTTTTATTTTGTGAGGAAGAGTGCTTTATTTGGTCTATTCAATATAGTGGAACAAAATATTCTGTAATTTCTATGTGCAGCAACATTTATGCAAAGCATTTGTAAATATGTATGCTTTCGTAAAATAAAACTATAGTATTTACAAGTGCATGTAGTTAAAGTATGGATTTTTACAATTGTATTGTAACATTGAGATTTGTAGCTTGACATTAGATGATTGATTCCAACGTACTTTGTATCACATGGTATAAGCCATCAACTTTTAATTATATTAAACGTTGAAAAAGTGTAATCTTGATATTTTTTATTTAAACAGTCTTAGCTGTGATAACAATATTTTGTACAAATTTAGTTATCAGAAAAATTGATATTTTTATTGTGTAACAAAAGAAATATTTGAAAATAATAAGTAACATACAAGGTGAGAGTAATATACAATCCCAGACTTATCGTATGTTATAATCACGTCATTTGCTTATGTCATTGTTTAGCACAAAAATATCGTAAATATTAGGAGATTTGTTAATGACATTTTGATTATTATGTTAAAATTGCACAAGATAAAAAATACTCATAAACACTACAATGCGAAAATTAATGTTTAAAAAAATGCGTTTATAATAATATATAATAATATTATTTAATAAATTTGCAAAGGCATCTATATTTAAAAAAATGTAACGAATGTTTATACAACTTCTAATCATTTAAAAATGTATTTTTATTTAAATAAATAAGTATAATATACATCGGTTTTATATGTTGGTAGAATAAAGATGCTGTGTTCCAAAATGCGCTGGCAGTGCTAAAAACCTATAGTGTACGTAACATGAACTACTACTGATTGTAAAATCACGTTGCCGAGAATATTTCCATAATCTCACTATTTCATTTTTGAAGTTTTGAGTATTTATCAAAATATATATATATATATATATATATATGGTGTGTGTGTGTGTGTGTATGTGTATGATAAACCTTTAAACATTTTTGACTGAGCTTACTTTCGTAATTACTAGCACATGTAATGTATATATATTTAATATTATTTTATATGGTAATTATTCAGTATTGCTGCCTCACCTCCAATTTTGATAAATTAATGCTCATTCGACGCGTTTTTTCGTGAAACAAAAGAATCTGATAGAAAATAGTGTCGCTCTGTCCCGTGAAATGAGATATTAATCGTTAAAGTTGACCACTTTTCAGGTTAAAAAAGCTGTCATACTTAAAAGTGTATTGGCCGGAGCACAGACTTTTGCATAAAACATAACGCATAAGCATAAGGAAATTGATTGGTCCATTTCCTTATGCATTTGCTTATGCTTATATATAGACCAATCAATTTCCTTATGCTTATGCATTACGCATTATGTAAAAGCTTGTGCTCTCGGCTTAAGTGTGACGAACCAGTAGGTTCCACCCTTCCCTACGGGGGGGCTCCACCATCTAAAAATTAGGCACATGGGTGTGGGTTAGAATCTTGCTCCGCGTGGAAAGTTCTAAGCGTAACCTGAAAAGTGGTCAACTTTAACGATTAATATCTCGCTTCGCGGGGCAGAGCGACACTTTTTTTGTTAAATTCTTTCGTTTTGGACAAAAACGCGTCGAATGAGTATAAATTTATCAAAATTGGAGGCAGTGATACTGAATAATTACCATATATATATTATAAAATTATAATTGTGTTTATATATATATATAAAGGATAATAAATCCAATAAGGGATTATAAATTGGTATAATTTTGGTAAGTTCAATTAATGTGTGTGTATAAAATTCAAGAAAAATTCTAAAAAATGGAGAAAGAAGAAAGTACAGCGATGAAGACATATCTATATAAATAACTTGCGTATGTATTACGCAATTATGCATGTTTATTTGAATGTACCTTTATACATTATGCGGCTATCATAAGGCTATAGGCCAGTGTTGCCAGAAACAAGCGGCAAGTATACATACCAACCAACCGAGAGCCGATGACGTCACGCGTCCGTATGTATTCGACCAATGGAAGCGAGATGTCCGTTGTATAGTGCTTGTTGATTGGTCCATTTCTTTATGTATTTGCTTATGGACTAATTAAGTTTGACTGGATTCATCTCATATCAGCAAGCACCATACAGCGGACGTCTCGTTTCCATTGGTCGAACACACACGGACGCGTGACGTCATCGGCTCTCGGTTGGTTGGTTGGATGCTTGCCGCTTGTTTCTGGCAGCATTGCTATAGGCCGAAGCACAGACTTTTAAATAAGATACAAGGCAGAAAGGGAATCAACCAATCAGTGATCCACAGAATGAGAAAGAGATGGAAATAAAGGAAAGGAAAGGAATCTGATTGGTAGATTTCCTTATGCATTATGCTTTATACCTTATGTAAAAATCTGTGCTTTGGCCTTATAACATACTGGAGTAAGCATGGAAGGAATGAGAGTAACTTTACTGTGCAAAAGAGAGCTATATTGAATGGGGATGTCTGTCCCATGTTTTATGTCTGTTTCGTTTTAATATCCCTACCATACAAGGTAGTAAATGTGGAAGGAGAAAGTATCTCCGCCTACTATTGTTATCCTTTCGTCGCGAATTACATTGGTTATTAATGGTTGTTTTCCAGCAAAGGACAAAAGTTGACACAAATCGACACAAGTATCACTCTGTCTTTGTTCGATATTCAATGAGCAACAGAGAGAATAATACTCTTGGTGGAAAACTACCATTGTTAGTTCTGCGAAAGGCTCGCACCAGTATGTATATAGAACTTAATGATGCCTATATTAAACTATGGACCGTTATTTCAACGCATTGATATTAACTTCAACCAAAGATTAAAGACATTATCTTTGATCGAAGGTTCCAACTTGTCAACAAAATTGCCAATATGAATAAAATATCGTCATCAAAAAAGAAAAAAATTAAAAATTTTTGTCTCTTAATGATATTTTATGCTTCATGGTAGCAATTATATTAATAAATTGGAACCATCAATTAACGTTAATCGACGTTGGAAATAGTGATCCTATATGTAATTCTCTTACCTCATATATATATATATATATATATATATAATAGCCACATATATATATATATTTATATGTGGCTATTTGCAGAGGGAGCCAAAGTTTTGCTTGACACAGCAGGGATTGGACTCTACTCAGAGTACTTATCACTTGCTCGACTCCTTCCGCGGAGTAACCACCAATCCTGAGGTTCGTATTGAATGATAGTACGACGTGTACTCGCGAACGGACTTCTAGAGCGAGGCGTATCATAATGGCCGCGAGTTGATTCGTAAGAGGAAGGCATGCGTGTTTCGTTGCATTACGTGAAACGAGGCGAAGACGAGAGCAAGCACTAGGAGAGTCGGTGGGCCAGAGGGACGCGAATAACGTCGCTGTTGTCGCCGTTGCCGCCGTCGTCGTCGTCGAGGCTTCAGCTGCTTGCTCGCTCGCTCGCTCGCTCTCGAGAGTTTAAAGCTCGGTACGTATATACATACATAATCTTGCGTGCGTGCATATCGCGAGCGCGAGTGGGTGGGCGAGGCGTGTGTTCTCACTCTCTGGTTTCCTGCACACGGCGAATAATCGTTCGCTCGTGTGGGCTAGGTAGTGCGTGCGTGTGTGCATTCAAGCAGTGAGTGAGCGGTGTGGTGCGTCGATCGCACGATCGGCAGCGATGAGCGACGACAGGAGCGAGGACGATCCGATAATGGATCTCTTCTACAGTTCTTGGGAACAGGATTGCTGCGAGTCGATCGAGTCCGAGCCCGATTGTGAAAGTCAGCTGCACAATGAGAAGGAGCTCTACTCGCAGCAGATGTGGACGAGCTTCCAAACCACCGCGTCGGCCATCGCCCAGTTGTACAAAGGTGATTATTTTTTACGTTTCAGTATATACATGTATACGCGAGATTTCTTCCTTGGAATGCATATAATGATGCAGGTCGGATCGCTCGATGATGGCCATGTCGTATCGCTGCAACGTAGTTACCATTTCGCGTAACATCCATTTTGTCGCGACATCGTGAGAACGATCTTACGCATCGTAACCCGTGCGATCGTTCGCCTGCAACTGGCAGACTCATTTTGCTAATATCGATCCGACTAGAGGCTAACCTTTCGCTTTCTGTTCTGTTACAGACCGCACGCTAGGTGTATCATTATGGGTGCCCTTTCAGACAGCCGCTGGTACCGTCACATCATTGTACAAAGGTACGTGCTACTATTCTATTTTACGCATTGTCAACAATGTCCCTAGATAATCTCGTGGTTGTTCCTCTTTTCTCCTCTGCTCCCTCCTCCCCCCCTTCTCCTTCCTCTTCGGCCATTTCTTGTCCCTCGTGCTTCAAAGCGTCATCTCCTACGTTTATCTTTCTTTGTCTAACTTTGTCTCACACTTGGTTGTCTTTATTGTATTCCTGCAATGCGACTTTCATTTAGGAGTACAAGTGGGCCTCTGTAACAGCTGACCAGTCAGGGTCAGCTGTTATATCGAATATTGCAGTATCATGGTCAACTTGATATTGAACAATTAGAGAAAGTTATATTAAATTAATATTATACGACACAAATTACGAAATATGTAATACGAATTATTAAATATTGCAAAGCAGCATAATATAAAGAAATAAAAAATAGAGCTATTAAATTATTAATCTTATTTCTATAGAGTTAAAAATAAATAATATACTACTTTATTATTAATTTTTTTTTACATGTTTTTTAATTTACATGTTTTATGTATTTCAAAATACAGAAACAATTTGAAAAAATGCTTAATGCATTTTGCAATTTATTATTTTATTATTTTATTATTTTTATTGTATGCTGTTATATTAATATTAAGATATTTTGCAGTACATGTGATAAATATTACTATAGTACAGTAATTTTTAATATATTTTTGTAATTTTAATATAGCTTTGATATTTATATTTATATTTAAGATTATTTGTTTATGTTACTGTATCTTGAAATGTATAAAACATATATTAAAAAAATTGAGCAATATGTTATAGATTTATTGAATCAAATATAAAAACAAAATTGATTAAGAAATTATTTAACAAATTTGTTTAGCCAGTGACTGAACAATAAGTTACCGCAATATCTGCAACATTTAATCTAGAGCATTCAAAAAATCGAAATATTAATTTTATTAAAGGGAAGATCTTGTAATTAATACGTATTTGTATATTATTAAGCACACATACATGTATCTGTAATTAATTAAGAATTATTTAAATAGATTCAGTAGACTGTATGAGGCGTTGCAGTGATCTGGGAGCAGAAATGGGCAGACAAAAACGTAGTAAAGAGATAATGAATTGGGCTAGAAAAAAAAGACGTATGATTCGTAGAGAAGATCTTCTTGCATATCTTGCTGGAAAGCCACCACCCTCTCGATCACATCCGCACAGGTTGGCTGTTATTATTATTTCAAATCATTGTCGATAACATATCATTAATTTTTGTATTTTAACTTTTTTTTAAAATTAAATACGTAGTGAACGTACGTACGTTTTATTAAATACGTTTTATTAAATACGTAGCGAATTCTACTAGAATGCTACGTGTATATCTTTTTATACGTATATCTTATAAAATTATGACTAAATTAGACGATTATCAGTGAAAATTGACTTTGAATTGAAATTGACCAGTTAAAAATTGAGAAATAAAATTTGCAAAGAGTTTCCAAATACAAATTTCTACAAAGCTGCCACAAATGGACATCCGCTAAAGGGTTAAATTGATAAGCAAATTGATAAGTAAATTAATATCGATTGTTTTCTAAACTAATATGATGCAATATGTTGGCAATATTCCAGAAGTTCACCTAAACCTCGTATGATGGTGTGTGGTTCTCCATCGTCACAAAGTCAAACAGCGAATATGGTTATTGCTCCAGCACCAACAGCAGGCAGTGATCCAGATCCTGAATTGCACACATTTAGAGAAGCCATCGCAGTGTCTGGTATATTATCTTATGTTTTAATTTAATTTTTAAATCTTACATATTTTTTTTGTAATTATGTTTGACAATTAACTAATACCAATACTTTTATTACACTTGCCACATTTGCTTAATTCTATTTATAATATTTGTATCGTAATGCACACTTTACACTTAAAGTTAGGTACAAGTATATTTGAAAAACGATCACATAAACATAAAACAGACTTACGCACAATGTGCCCAAATACAAATAATAAAATTTTGGGAAATATTAATTTTTCTCAGGTTCTCCAGTGTCTCGGCGTAGCGGAAAACAAGCCGAACTGTCGGCCTTCATTAGCAACGAATTGGCTCGGCATCATAAACGGCCTGCTTCGCATGACGTGGATATGGGATCACCCACGCACAAACGTATGCGTACTACACTGTAACGGCGCGCGACGCGTAAGGTAGCTTTACTCCCTTGTTCCCTATTAATTAATCAATTCGATTAATGACTAATAGCTCAGCTCTCCTACATAACTCCCGGTTACGTGTAATTGTTTAAGGAAAACGGTAGTGGTTTACACTGCCAGTGATAAGCACGTTCGTTTGAATCTCTCCGCTTTAAATCAGCTTTTACCGCCGATTTCAGATTTATATGATATTTAAAATTATCTATTCTCATATTAGCTACACTAGTCAAGTTCGACTAACATGTAAATTTTAAATTAATAGTAATTAATTTAAAGTAATTTTCGTTAAAAGCTACAGAATGTATTTATGTCTGATGTTTATTTTGTATATATTAATCAAATGATGTTCACACGCATACATGCTAAAAGTTTTTTTTATTGTATAAGGTTTCATAAAAATTTAAAATTTTTATGTAGTTTTTTTTGCTATTAATTATGCCAAATCACAGAAATGAGAACACACGAACGTGTCTTAAAACTGTTTAAAGTGCCCACATACGATGATTGGTCTTATTTTTCGTACAAGAATTTGTATACGAGACTGTCATTTTGTTTATCTATAATCCCACTCATGAAGAATCAGCAAGATATGTGACGTTTATTCAAAATGTTAAGTTTTTATATACATAATATACGTATATGTGTGGATATGTATACCGAAATTTGTAACTATTACTATGGAAAAAACTATCAAAAAGTAAAGATATATTTAAGGATTCAAACCTTTTAAAAATGTCTCTTTACTTTTTGATATTTTTGAAAATAATAATTATTTTGATATTTGTCGGTTTGTTATATTACCGAAATTTTCTGTACATGAAACAAAAAAATATTTTTTTTGCTATTTTTCGAAACTGTTAATGATAATTTATGTCAGAGAGAAATAGGAAAAAGATACAATTGTAAAATATTTGTTCTTATTAAATAATTCTTTAGATTGCTCATTATATAATATTGTTTTTATTATATCGTGATTTTAGGTAATTTTAATACTTTAGATTTATCTTTTTCCACCAATAAAATGATTATTTTGTTGATGATAAGCAGATACAACAAAGAATAGAGGAAATAAAAAAAATAAACGAAAGGTCGTAATAAAAATGCGATAATAAGAAATTCTTAATTTTACACTTTAAGTCTTATTAATTGTCAAAATTGATTCTTCAAATTCGTTTTTGTTGAAATATTCCCGAATGTAGCAAATTTGAGTCTATTATATGTTTTATAAAATATATTTAATATTCACGTTATACATTTCTCTTTTTTACTTGGCATTTTTAAGTGAATTATTTCATCGTGTACATTAGCATGAAATTAATTAAAATGTTGTCTAATTATTACATTTTAATTTTATATCATGCGTGTCAAATTTTTATGTTATAACGAAATGATTATAGCATCGAAATTATAAAGTTATAATATTGTGGTCTAAAAAGGAATAGAAAACTTAGAACATTTTATTTCTTAAGTGTATGAAGAACACTAGCTGTCAATACTATCAGAGTGTAACCGAAAAACTTTCTGAAAGAGATCTCACTGTGACTCTTAACTGTAGTAAACTAAAACCTTCAGTGGAGAATTTGTATTGTGAGAGAAGTAAGCCGAAGAGCAAAATGAGACAGTCTGCTTGGTCTATTGTGTCATTATAATTTAATATCAAATATGACGAAGGAAAATCAACGGAATAGTATAAATTTGATTTATTTTTTTGTTGATGCATAGGCTAATAAAGGGAGATGAACCGTCAAAAAGATACCAAGCTTTACATCCCGAACAAGGTCTACGTCAATGTTCTGCAATGAGAAATGGATTAAATACCTCACAACTCTCTGCGACGTAACGTGTTCGTTTTATCGAACTTAACGTAAACGTAGGCTTTGTCAGGTAGATGTGATAATGGTTGCAATATGTGCATATATGTGTACATATATATACGTATATTTGTTTTATGTACTTATATATATATACATATGTATGACAATGTATTTTATAAAAAAAGGCGCTTAACGATTACGTTTTAACGATCGTGCCAGAGAGTGAGAGTCCCCTATGCCCAATATATGAAGGTGATGAATGTAAATGTACATTATTTCTAGCTAATACGCCTCCTATTGCTTCTACCCGAATTTTCGAAGACATTGCAGTCGAATTGTATGTCAAAAATTGTTAACATATGTTAACATACAAAGTAATAATGATATAAAGTTTATAATGATATAAAGTAAAAGAATTTCAATTTATTTGGAAATGAACAAATCCTATTTTGACTTACCCTCGTTATATAATGGGATTTATTTAAATGCTCGATCCACTTTTGCCATCTATTCGTCTGCAATATTCATTTAACTGTTCTTCGAAGATCACGTAGAAGTCAACGTACATTTCTATTCGTTTCTTCGCAAGATTGTTCGAGCGTCATTTATGAGAGGAGTAAAAATTGTTGTTCAGTTGTAAATATAGCATATGCTAATATAAACGATAAACATAGATATATCATTAATATTATTATCAATGCTAGTATTGACTACTATACGATAGCTTTAACAATGATATTTATCGTGCGATCGGCAGTTAACAAAATTCCGAATTCTATCCTCTTCGACTACATTTCCCTGGATAGAGATCGATGATGCAGAATCCGAAAATCTCGCATCACCGAGAACACGCAACAACCGTGGAGAATTTATTTTTCACGAGCAAATAATTTACTTGTCTATTGTACATGCAGATTAAACGGTCACGGAAGGAAAGTGTTGCTTCCACGATGATGTAAAAAAGTCTGATTGAAAAATTTGTACGTTTGCATCGTTCTTAACACGTTTCTTCCTGATGCCGTTTCCAACTGTCGAAAATATCTTCTGTATAAATGTCGTTCTTTTCGTAATTATGATAGAAGAAAGTAATACATTACTTAGATATATCGTATGTGAAGATGCCATACTTAGGTACACTACCGATAAGCGAGCGCACCAAAATCGGCGATATGATGTCGAGGCAACTCTACAGAGAGTTTTTGTTTCTATTCCATATGTTTGTGGTACCTTTCCTGTATAATTGAAATCCATTATCATAATGGCTAGTATCCATTTGAGAGAAATACCGTTTAGAATTGCTCTGGAGAATCATACCACAAATGAATATACTATTGGAGAATACTGCAGAAAGTCTTTTATACTTTTTATTTTCTTAATTATTTTAATACTGAAAATTACTCTCAAATGAACACTAAGCCAGCGGTAATTGTTTACTCCTTTTTAGCGAGTAGATGACTCGAGTACGCGATTCCGCCGGTGTAATTGGCATTTTCCTATCTTACGTAATAGCCACCTGTACGTATGGGATGACACTTCGAGGTCAGCGAAAAAATTCTCTCACACGCGTGGAGCTTTCCCTTTCTCATGAAAGAATTATCTTGTCGGAAATCTGTAGGCTATATAAGATTACATATACAGAGATACAGTGCATCAAACAAGTTTTAATTAAACTAGTTTTGTTGATTAAGATAATTAAGTTTATATAATATGTTACGCAATTTTTAATTTACTTAAATTTAATATATTTAATTCAAAATTAGAATTTGAAATTAATTCGATAATTTTTGCAAATTAAGTTTGCATGAGATTATTTAGAGTGCAGCAAATATATTTTAAAATATGGCATAAAATATACGGAATATTTTTATGTTTATGAATATAACAATATGTTTATATGAAAATATGTAAATGTATAATAATGTAATAATGAATAGAGGCCTAACAGATGTCTCTAAAAAAAATAACAGAACATATTTCAGAATGCACAGAATCAATATGACAGAAAACCGGTGTAATTGTGTATTCGTAGGGTAAAAAGCAGAAGTCCAGGAAAAATTATTTCTGTATTATATCTCTCATGGTTAATTTTACTTTGTACATGATGCGCAGGAACATATAAATGCGTACATTTGACGAGCGCAAGGCACCAAAAAATTTTTTACAAGCGTATCTCTTTCTTTCCTTCTTTATTATTCCGATGCACATTGCTGCAAGTTGCATTGGTGCACTTTCGCGAGAATGAGTGTACCGTGACATGAGACTTGCACGAACATGACGCCTTGATCGGGCATGACGCGTTCATGGCAAGGCGTGAAATGGTGCTGTTACTTTCTTGCGAACATAAGAAGCTTGTATATTTTTGCGCCTCTTGTTTGTAAGATAATCATTTACAAATAAATCACGAGAAAACGAAAGAAACTTGTTATTTTATTTTACTTAGTGTCATACTTTATTTTGTACATCTTGCGTAATTTATAGATATATTATGTACTATACACGGTGTTATAAAGTTAATATATAATACTCTATGTAATCCAAACTGTAGTATAATACAAAGGCTCGTTTATATCTGAAGCATGATTGCAAAAATCAGATACTATACACATTCCAGATACTATTCTCATTCAGCAGATTATCAGATTGAAAAATAACAGATGTCTATCTCTATTGTTGCTCGATCTCAGCAATCATGCCTCATTAATGACAGAAAGAGTGCACACAAGTCCTGATTATTATTTAATATATATGAAATTCTTCAATAATATATTTAAATTCTAATATTTAGTTTGTTTATGAATGATTTAATGTAAAATTAATCTCGTGATATAACAAATTATAATAAAAATGTGCATAATTCTATTTTATAAAAAAATAATTTTTTGAAATTTCGTGTATAGTACAATGATACGGTACATAAATCTAATTAGAGGGAAAGCCCTTATAGCTGAACATCAACATCAACGGCATTAGATTTTATGGCAGTGTACGTTAGATTTTTTTCATTATGGCATAAACTAGTTAACTATTACTTAGTGCCACCTTTTCTTTCGTTCTTCTTACTTTTCAATACAATTCTTTCTAGCGATCAATTAATTATATTATGCATAATTTAGCTAATTGTATATAACATCAGTCAGTTATAGTGATTTAATAAGATTTAACAAGTTTCACTCTTAAATTTTACAATAGTAAATGGTAGAAAAATTATAAGGCACAAAGAAAGTTTGATATTAAAAATATCTTAATATCTGATATGGACATATTTTTGAATTTAAAATATCGTTATTATCAATTAATTGAATATTAAAAAAAAATGGTTTTAATAACTTCACCTTTTCTTTTTAATTCTTAATGCTCAATTTACTTGACTTTTATGAAAATCTGAATTTTATGCTTTATAATTAGTTGCTATTTCTCTCTTCTCTCTATTTTCACTTCTTACATAAAACATTAATGAGTACTTTGTCATATTTGTTACGAACGGACAATTTTCCATCAATAGCAATGCATCCTTTATGACTAATGTAATATATTATTTTCACAATCTGCTGTCCTTGATGACGCTCTCCGGCATGCTTAGTGCTCTTTTCCGGTTTGCGATTGCATTAGTAAGTTTCCGCCTGGGTCCGAGCGGAAGTTTGAGAGCCGCTATGTCGGTTTCGGTGAGTAACATCAGAGCTTCCAAATCGATTTGCTCTGATTCTAGAATAGGCTGTATGGACATGAGATTATTGGCAACCAAAAATCTCTGCAAGGGTGTCCATTCCTCGTCCGTCTCCTCACCTTCTATTCACAAATAAATTCAATAATATGATACCCTTCTCTTGTATGCAGAAAATTGATTAGTCTTTATGCAAAATATGTTGCCGCATCCTGATTGTAAGAGCCATTGTGCTATATATGTGTAATAATATTTCAATTGTGCTTTGTGATAAAAGTTTGTTTAATTTACCTGAAAGCAAATCCTCATCCCACAAACTTTGTCTACGTGCCAAACTGCCGGCACTTCCTATACTAATCTCCTCGGTGTATCCATTTGGGCTGAATTTGTTACTGTTTACTGATCCGTTTGTAGAACCATTAGCAGAAAGATTACTGTTCTGCAATTGAACGTCCATCTGCGTGACCGGCAAGTTGTCCAGTGTAGATGTTATCTAAATATGAAAATTATAGAATCACGTGCAATAAAGAAAAAATTAATTAGCATATCTGCTGCTTTATAATTTCAATCTATCCACACTTTGTTACTTAATTAAGCGTTAGTGCACCTGATGAATGTCTGTTACGTATTTCTGTGATGCAATCGTTTAAAAGATCGTTAACATTTCCGCAATGATTCTCACAACTCGGTTCTTTGTTTCTGTTTGAATCATGATTCAAATGGGACAAGTGATGGTTCATCTCGTTGCGAAAGAAAATACATCGACATAATGTTGAAGTATACCGATTTCTACGAGTCAACAATTGCGGGAGCAATTGTGCGGAACGATTACATTTGTGAGATGAAGATCATTATTGCAGCATGTAAAAAGCATGACATTAAAATAATTATAAAAATAGAAAACATTGCGACGTATGTATATATTAAAGTTCTATCACATTCCAAGTGTTTAGAAAACATTTTATGCGGCTATAAATATACTTTTTAGAATAACTTCTTTGTTGCTTACAATTTTCTTTAATTTTGTTTTGCCGCAGGCAAAGTGTTTATAGCTTCTTGTGAACATAAAATATGATGTAAGATATAAATATAAAAACTAACCGCCCTTCTGAAAGCTACCGAACCGAAACCAGGTCGGTTGAAGATACTGGCTGGTTCCTGAAGGAAAGTGGTGTCCTTCGCAACATTCAAGTTTTCTTCTTCCCTGTCCTCTTCCTCCTCGTCGTATATCCTTTCACCTAAGAGATCGGGCGTACTCTGCGATTTACTCAGAGTGTTCCACACATCGGAGATCTTCCCTCTTCTGCCTATGTGTTGAGGCTGAGTATCGTACGTGCCTACGTACATAACTTCGGAATCCCGTCGAACGCCGGTCAGACTCCGAACGGATTTCTTTCCATTCACTTCAACCTTTGATAATAACAGATTATGCAACATTATGCAATCCAATAATCACTAAAATCAGCAAAAAGAAACTGTCATTTATAATAAAATATAAATCTATATAAATATTTATTTTTGATTTTTATTTTGCATTTTAAGAATGGAAAAAAATAATCCAATTTATAAAATTAATTTAATTAATATTTAAAAAATAGTTTTTAAGATTTTTATGTTTTAAATCATAAAAAAATAAAATTATATATTTTTTTCTTACTTCCACAACTTTAAAATCGTTGATGGCTTTCTTCGCTAAAGCTTTGCGACAAACTGTACTGCCGTGTCTTTTTGTGGTAGTACCAACGATATCACTGAATGTTGGCGAAGGTTTCATTCGGCCTCTAAAGGTCAGTACCCCGGGGCGTTGAGAATTCAACTCATTCATTGCGTCGAAATCAGATTTAACACGATCTTTTATAAGTTTCTTTTGCTCTTTTTCAGCTCTAGTTTCAGCTATCTTCTGTTTCTTCATGTATTCTTTCAGTCTTAAAGAAATATGTTTGTAATTAGTATAAAAAATATATCTTGAGATATTTAAAATAGAAAATAAGTAACATATGTTAATATCTATTAACAAAAATGGACATATTCAGAGATCATTGATTACTTAATATTATTTAATAAATTAAAAGATAAATGTATAATAAAAATTTAAATAAAGAAAAATTCTAGATAAATAACAATATTAAAACATATCTAAATTTTATTTAAAAAAGTAAAAATATGTAGATTTAACTGATTATTCATTCATTCATTTGCCTTAAAAAACACATAATATAAAGTAAATGAACAATTAAACATTCTTTAAAAATGCATTTAAATTTGCAAATTTATGGTAAGTATATCATCAAATTGCCACAATCGTTTAACAAGACTGCATAATGTAAAAAATATAGAACAATATGATAAAACAATATATTGGTCGCAATAATAAAGAAAAATTGAAATAGTGAAGTAAAAGAAATTATCTGTGTTCTATTTTATAATAAATATATTCAGTTGAGTTTAAACAACACTTCTGTTTCTCCATCAAGGAGATAGCACAAAAACAAATTGCATTCCTATATCTTTGCATTTTTGCACCTTTTCTCTGCATCTTTTTCTGCCTTTTCTCGGAGCAGCCGACTTTTCTTGCGATTATTCAATTCCTGATCGGCTTGGGCAAGATCTAGAAATTGCAAGATCCTCTCGCAGCCATTTATTGCAGCAAGTTCTCGAGCAGAGTGTCGATCAATGTCCAATGACCAGATATTACAACCAAATTTTACTAGAAATTTCACGCAGAATTCATGACCTCTTGCTGCTGCTAGATGCAAACATGTGTTGCCGAAATAATCGGTTTTATCTGGATCACCCCTACAATAAAATAGACATGTTATTTTGAAATATAGGAGATATAATGTAAGGTTTTTTCCTCCTTAAGTCGCATTAAAAAATGTTTGAGTTTTACAATATTCGGTACATTTTATATATATTAAATTAAATGTTAATAATGATCATCATATACTATAATAATATATACATTTAAAGATATAATGCAATATGTTAAACACAAACAGACTGCTACAAATAAAAAATATCGATATGTTCTTATGTACAATATATAGATTATATTGTTATATATTAATTTTTAATTATTATCACAAATTTCTGCTTAAAAAGTAAATGTAAAAGATGTTCTAAATGCATAATTATATTTTTGTCATATTAAAACAATTTAAAAACAGGAAACTAATATAATTAAAAAACAATTTGGCAAATAATTTATTTAAATTTGCAGTTGTTAAACTGACTCACGTAGCTTCTTCTTCTACATAATTTGGCGCCAATTTTACATTAATATTTTTCTATTATTATATTATTAATTTTTTATTTTGATACTGTAAAAATTTATCTAATAAGAATAAATTATTTCGCAAGATTTGTTTTTTTCGCTTCTTCTGCTCACATTTCTTACGCTTCGAAGTGGAATAATTACAAATTTCATTCTTACCAAAAAAATTCATATTTAACAGTGGTTATGTGATTGACTTTGTGCAAAACGTTTGCAGCAAAAGTATTGTCCATTTGCCCGGCGACTTTGCAGCGTCTGAACGTCCGTGTCTTCAAGAGGCATCGATCGTAAATTCGATCAAATCAATCCAAACTGATGGTTCTTATTTATGTATGTGTCGTAGGTATGTACCATAAAAGTATTTATCTATATGTATTATAACTTATATACGTATATTTTCGCCAGTGATAGTCGGTAGCAACAAAATATGTCAAAAAAACTTTAGAATATTCAAGCGTCTGCAACTTTATATGATCTCATAGTCTATTTTGATCGAAACATCCGCAAAGAAATTGATAACTTGTACATTAATTATGCCGGAAATGTATTCACCCTTTGATTTTCGTACAATGTAATCGTACAACGCGAGTTAGATTAGGGTTAGGTTAGGTTATTTAGGCGCGAATTATTAGGTTACTAGTTACTTCCGGTAATTGATGATAGTACGCTATTATGATGATAGATCGCGTAGTACGACATATTGCAAGTTGATCTGACTCACGTAGTTAAATTTACCGTTACAGCTTGCGATAATTTTTGGAGCATTCAAACGTCGGCGTCTTGTGAAATTACATCACTCGTCCCAAATAAAGCATCTGAAGACGAAAAAAAATGCATAATTTGCGCATAAATTGTGTTTCGGTAATGTATCTATTTCATTTTTATAACGTACAATGTAAGTTATAAAAGTGCATGTATGTTAATAGAGCTCCACTCTCGCCGCGTTCCGCGATTTGATCGGAAGCTCCTAAAGGGTACGGATGCGGATATGTACATCCGATCAACTTGTTTCCGAAGCCGGCAAGATAGCTACTTGATTTTGATCGACAATTCGGCGTATCTCACGAGTGGTATGTATTTATTCTTGTATTTTATGATTATGTGATATATTTGTACGAATATTTTCGATGCTCCCTTTGTGAGAGAGCCATTATTGGTGTCGTAGCAAATATCGTTGCAGGGAGTCGAAATCGGCCATTACTTTGCTAGTTTTGGCGAAGTCAATTTTTTTAGCGATTTATATTGGAAAACTATTAGAAACATTTATAAACTTGGGAAAATTGATTGGAAGTAGAAATTTGATGGGGATGTTAACGTAGTGCGTTGCTTGCTTCGTATTGAGTACCACTGTACGCTGAGCAAGGACTATTATTTTTCTCTTTTTATTGTTTTTTGTTTTTTGCTCAGTATTCAGTGATGCTCAGTACAAATAATCAAGCGGCACGCCGTGTTAATTTCTTCGTTGGAATAATAAATTGATAATTATATGATATGATAATTAATTGATAATCATACATTGAGATGATAAATTGAGATAATGATATTTGATGGAGTATTTTATATGTTCATATAAAAATGTTTTTAAAATGTATTACTGTATGTAGGAATATATTAATTTTTAAAAATAGAATTTAAAATGTTAAATTGTTATAAAATGTAAAAAATGTACAAATGCTATACAATACAATAATTCCCTGATCATACATGCTGAATACATGCTTAAAAAAATATATAAAATATTTTAAATATGTAATCATATTTAATTGTTATTGCACTTGTTTATAGTGATGTAAAAGGTAAGCGTTTAGTTTCTTATTTTACGTTTGTTTAATAAATAATTGTATGAATTTCGCAAAATTCTATGCATTGATATAGCGATTGCGTTGTTTCATATTCCGTTTCTTGTTTAATTTTTCCGCTTTCTTATGAAGAAAGAAGATCTATTTTCTTATTTTAATTATTTGCTGAGAATAATATTTTGTAATTAATGTCGAATCTGTCGATTAATGCTGAAGCTAGCGGAAAGTTTTTGCACGTTCCATAAACGACATTTACATATAACGCTCACATCATCGCGGTTTTATCGTTTGTTTATTTAAATTTATTCTTTTGAATATATTTTTTAATCATGCGCAGATGTCCACAATGTAATCTCAATCGATTGTTTATTTCGATCGGAGGAAAATTTGCTCACTGACATCGTATACATATGTTCTTTTGTTAAAATCGAATAATTGGTTTTTCGTTCTGCATGTAGTTAAATGAGAATGTGTGAATTGTGTCGAAAGTGAACGTATTTGTGCAGGTACTTTTGGGTACACTGCATAACATAAAGTTCGCTTCGGTCTGCCATATCGTGTACGCGGTCTATTGTTTTTTGTTCGCTTGACCGCGGTTTCCGTCGTTATGCAGTCGCTGGACACCTGTAATGCGTGCTTCCGGTTCCGAGCATTTATTATCACGACGCAATATACAAAAGCAGGACGAAGGGCTCGAATGGCGGAACCTTCAGAAACAAATTCGACATCCTGTTGTGAACGGGATTGTACATATGTAATTTTAGATATGCATAAAATAACTACCCACGAGTATTTTTATATTTCATTATAGTTTCTGCATTTGTAAAAAAATGTGCAGAAATTTGAATGAAACCAATTCCATGCTAAATTATGTAAATTTTTATCTTCAAGCTTATGTCTAAATGTAATTTTAAATTTAATTTTTTATTTTCTAAAACATCTGTGTTTTATTTATAGATAATTCTGAGCATGTGTCATTACGCCGTGACACACAAAAGCAAGACGAAAGGCTTCATAGCGGAATCTTCAGATTGACATCTTGTCATGAACATGTAATTATAAATACACGTAACTGTAATTATTATTTATGAGTCTTTCTGTTCATTCTAATATAATTCTAATTTTTACGTACATATTTGAAAAAATATATAGAAATTTCGGCCAAACTAAATCAATGTTGAACTATTTTCTTGAAACTTCTTGAAACTTATTTAAATTTCATTTTTTTTAATCTTTTAAAGTTTTTTAATTTATAGATAATTCGTAACTAATTGTTTAATCAATGTAATTTATTTATTGAATGTTGTAGTTTGTATTAGAAATTAATGTAATTTCTTTTTTATATTGCAGGAATTTGAAGCTATAGCGAAGTGTCTTTACATGATCCATAAACAACATTTGCAAATGATTTCAGTTCGCAAAAAATTAATGTGATTGATCTTTGCATTTGGAAATTTAAAGTTGTAATAAGCAGAGAATCTTTCTACATTCAACGAGTAGCAATCGTGGTGAGTGTTAATTAGAATGTACAATATAGTATAATATTTGTTGTGTTATTCAGAAAGGAAAAAAGAAAAATTAAATAATAGATATGCATACCCTCTGGCAACCAGTAATCTCAGTGCATCTATGTGTCCTTCAAAGGCTGCCCATAATGTCGGGGTCATTCCTCCTTCATCTCGCGCGTTACAATCCTTTCTCGTAGCTTCCTTTAGAACGTCCAGTACACCTTCTCGCGAGGCCCTCCGACAAAGAGAAGCCTGTATATTATACTATTCTCCGGCTTATCAAATATTCTTAGACTCGCGGTTTATTTCAGCATTGTTAAAAATTAAATATTAATTGAAAAATATTAAAACATAAAAAAAATAATAGATATTGACATTTATAGAGAATTACATCTACAATAGAGAGACATGTGTCTCGAGATTGAATAATAATTTCTTAATTATTAATTTCACTTATAAATAAAAAATAATTTACATATACAGTTTTATTATACTATTCCTAAAAAAATTGCCCCATTTATATTAATTACAAGATGATTACATTTTATACAAGTGATTTTATTTTTATATTGCAGGAATTTGAAGCTATAGCGAAGTGTCTTTGCATGTTCCACAAACAACATTTGCAAATGATTGCAGTTCACAAAAAAATAATGTGATTGTTCTTTGTATTTGGAAATTTAAAATTGTAAGCAGAGAATCTTTCTACATTCAACGAGTAGCAGTTATGGTGAGTGTTAATTGGAATATATAGTATAGTATAATATATTTGTTGTGTTCAGAAAGGAAAAAAGAAAAATTAAATAATAGATATGCATACCCTCTGGCAACCAGTAATCTCAGTGCATCTATTTATTTTTTAATAATTATATATATCAAGGATATTTATACATATAAATTATATAGATACGCAAAGCAATGGGCAAAAGATACATAAAGATTCTTTTTTTTTTTTACATTTTCTATTAAAAATATGAAAATATTTAACTCTCAGTTAATATAATAAACTCGTTATGTATTTTATTGTTGCTATAACCAAAACACATTTTTATTTCTTTAAAATACAGTTTTGTGAAAACTGTACTTGTTATTTTATCATGCAACATATCACGGTGTTTTATCCGGTTTCAACCGACTCGTTATTCTAACTATCGTCGCGTTTCTTGGGGAAGAATTACGGATTTCATCGCGAGCAAAAATCTCCGCGGACTATATCCATGCGTCTCAACATCTGATTATTCCAACATTTGCAGCGCAGGCTTTCGCGATATTTTAATTAGTTAAAGTGTTAAACTGTGTTCAACAGCGATACGAGCAATTTGCGTTTTCCTTCCTTTTAATTAGGGAAATTGAAACGTTAAGGGAAAATATGCGCGATTTGTGAGGTGCAACAGCAAGCGCTTTCAAACTCGTCGATGTTGCATTCCACGAAAAGCAGTTTTAACGTGTCAGCGTTTTATTATATTTTGACACTGGATTAATATTCTTGAATTCTAACGATAATGATTTGCTTCAGTAATTAATGTAGATAAAATTTCATAAGCTGTATTAATTTCACAAAGGAAGTTATAATCGCTTAATAAGTACATTATCATTTTTCTGTATTTTTTACATTTAGTATTTTTTTTTTTACATTCACAAATTACGCAATCTTGAGTAATATTTTTGAACATAATTTTTAAAATATTTGTTTGAATAAACGAAAATATCTTTTTATATATTCTTATTAATCTTAATATATTAAAAATTGCGATCTGACAAAAGGAAGTAATAGTAAATTATGATCTGAAGTTAATGTTTTACAACATATTTCTCTAGAATTTAAACTCGAGATATAATAAAGTAATAAGACTTTGTCTTCTATTCGATTTAAAGTAATTTTTAATTAAATAAAGTTTGAATATCTACATATTTTTCACTAAATTAACCAATTGAATCAAGTATTGAAAGTTTGTGAAAGGTTGGCAAATGACGTCTCTCTAAGAAAATGTCTCAAAATTCGATAGAGAAAATATAATATAGATCAGATGTTTTATACATGTTGCATACTGTTCATAAATTTAATATATTAGTCACGCCGCGATGTATAACACTTTTGCAAGTAAAAGTTAATAGATCTACAAGAAGCACTTGGATTTTCTACAGATGATCTGAACGATAAACGCTTATGGTGAATGAAATAAGAGCAGAAGCCTCTTCTCATGCATAAATTCCGCACGCGCTCTGCTAATGCTATAATAAAACTCCACAATTATAATTATTTTTCAGTTGTAGATAACTGTTTAAAATTTTTGAATTTCTTTATTTATAACAAGTCTTTTTCTTTAATTTAAATGTGAACCTTTTTATTTTGACATTTAATGTTTTAATGTTTGAAGTGTTTCTTTAATAAGTATAATATATTACAAGTGTGGATATTACTCATATGATTGTTATCACGCTTTTTTACCTGTCGGATGGTATAAACAAGTATGTTAAAGCATAATGTATTAATGATTGTGCTCATAACTTAGCAGTTGAATACGAAAGATTTGATTTTTTAATCTTTGCTTTGTCCTAATTGCTCGGTGAGTGCAGGTGCAATTTTGTTAATCAGTGTGATAGAGTGATTATTATCGATCCTGCATGAATCATTTAGTTTATAGTTTGATTTAAAAACGTCAATATATATTGTTTATAGTTTTTAATATGACATGAGTATTTATGTTATACATATTAAATTTCTTTAATTCGTAAACGTCAAAGAACAACCTAAGCAGATATAACAGTAGAATAAACAGTTAAATCTTTTATATTCAATTATGTTATTATGTTATTCTGTTCATATTTTTAGTATCAGACAAAATATTAAAACAAACATTGTGCATTAAAAATTGTATTTGATATGTAATTTTAGTTAATATTACGCTTGTAGTTTCAATATTTTTTCGTATTATTATCCCATCGCTTCGTGCGATGAACTGTACAATCACGACTCGTATATTTTTTCAATCTCAAGGCGAGTACCTCGCCCTACGACATTTCTCTACTTTCCGGATCCCGGGACAAGTCTTACGTGTAAGCGCGCGTATGAAAACAAGAGCAGAGAAAACGATGGAGACAGAGAGAAAAGCATGCTACTCGCGATATGCACACAAGAGTCTTCACAAAAAAAAAAACACACTCACTTGTGAAATCGCTCGGACGACATTTCGTGTGTCGTTTGCTGTCCAGCGAATTACCGAGATAACATTATTCTTAACTTAGGAAATATTTGACGAATTCCTCGCGAATTAAAGGACAGGAAAGACAGAACCGAGACGTGTAACGACACAACACTGTGGCAAATCGCGTGCCGTGTATTGCGTCCGGCAGTGCACTGTTCGAGCGAGCGGCAAACTACACCTGGGGCCGCCAGAATGTGGGGGGTTCCCTCTCGCTCTCCCCGTTCTTCGGCTATCACGCTTCGCTCCGTTGATCCGATAACTTTGCCTCTAGCTCGCGCGGTACTCCAGACGATTTGCCACCTGTGCTGTTCGGGTATCATCCGCCACCTAAAGTTTATTTCATAAAACTTCGCGAATTGATGCAGTAGAAAGAGATCTGACAACAGCTACCTCGTTTTTTAAATAAATAAATGAAAAAAATTTTATTATTTGAATAATAATAAATACTTTAAAAAATTTTAGATATAATATCAAACATTATTAATATAAAAATTGTACTTATATGAATTGTACTAATTCTGTATTTATATGAAAGTTAATCGATTATTTTTGTCACTGCATATTTATATTTTATAGAAATATTCAAGAAAATACTTATTTCTAATTGAGGAATATTCTTCATCTTTTTTTAAAAATAAAAAAATGGAAATTTTATTATTATAATGGTGTATTTTAAAGGTATTATAATTGTCTTTTCTTATTTTTCAGAAATAATTGTGTGATTATTTGAGGCGAGACACAGAATCGTGGTGCCATTACTTCAATACTTGAATTTTCGACACTTTTTTGTTATGGATAATGTCTACAATACATTGGTACAAAGCTTATAAAAATGCACCGATGATTAAGGAAAATGGATGAAGGTAAACGTTAGTTTTCCGGTTGCTCGGTGAGTCATGATATTAAAGATATTTATATTTACATGAAATTGATTTGCAATAAATGTGGTTTGCAATAAATGAAACCAATTAGTTTCTTTGTTATTTGATTAACATTATTTTATTTGAGAAATAAATTATTGGTTAAAAAGTTGTTTAATTAATATTTACATATTAATTATATAATATCTTAATATGGATTGTTTCATTAATGATTTTAATATGAAGCTTTATTAAATTATTCTATTTTAAAATTAATAATATAGTAATTTTGAATTGTTTTTCTGGTATATTTGAAACAAATATATTCTAAATTGTTTTTCTTTTCTAAAAACAAAGTATGTAAAAGTTTATATAATAAATTATTTATTAAAAATGAAAAGATATTGAGAAAAAATAGGTATTATATACTAATTAAAGATATAACAATAAATTTAATATTTAAAATTTTTTTACAAATATATTACATGTATATTAAAATTTATCTGCACATTAGTCTTTGGTTTCATTTGTTGTACATATGTGACTAATATGATTGATTCTTGTATGTGACTTTATGTGACTGATTCTAGTCACTTAAACATATTAAATTGTGCTTTTCATCGATTTGTCTGATTTTGCAACCATTGCTTACAAATATTTTGCAATCTTAATATCTTAATATGGATTTTATTAATGATTTTAATATGAATGCTTTACTAAATTATTTTATTAATTTTAAATTAATAATTTGATAATTTTGAATCATTTTTATAATATATTTGAAACGAGTATATTCCAAATTGTTTTTCTTTTCTAAAAGCAAAGTATGTACAAGCTTATCTAACGAATTATTTATTAAAAAGTCAAGATATATTGAGAAAAAATAGGTATTATACACTAATTTGAGATATAACAATAAATTTAGTATTTTTTATTTTCTTACAAATATATTACATGTATTAAAATTTCTCTGCATATTGTGTCATCTGTCTTTGATTTTATTTGTTGCTTTATGTAACTGATTCTAATCACATAAACAGATTAAATTGTGTTTTTTATTGATTTGTCGGGTGTTGCAACTATTGTTTACAAATATTTTGCAATCTTAATATCTTAATATGGATTGTTTTATTAATGATTTTAATATGAATGCTTTATTGAATTATTCTATTAATTTTAAATTAATAATATGATAATTTTGAATCATTTTTATAATATATTTGAAACGAGTATATTCCAAATTGTTTTTCTTTTCTAAAAGCAAAGTATGTAAAAGCTTATTTAACGAATTATTTATTAAAAATGAAGAGATATTGAGAAAAAATAGGTATTATACACTAATTTAAGATATAACAATGAATTTAATATTTTTTATTTTTTTACAAATATATTGCATGTATTAAATTTTCAATGCACATTAGTCTTTGGTTTCATTTGTTGTTTTATGTGATTGATTCTAGTCACATAAACAGATTGAATTGTGCTTTTTATTGATTTGTCTGGTTTTGCAACTACTGCTTGCAACTACTTTGCAATTTTTAAACATGTGTAACAAGTTTATCGGGAGTGCCGTTTCGGTCGATTGGCCAAAAAAGTATCGCGCGTTTCGTGTTTGAATATGCGCGCGAGCAATGCGTGCGAATCGTATCAAGTTAGTGTTTTTCGCGAACGCGTGTGAAAATGTGCCATGAAGGATTAGGAATAAGGAGGTCCAGAGAGGCATCAGGCGACAATGGAACAATATTGCAGTAAGTAATCACAAAAAATGCGAATTTTTCTACTTGTAAAATTTATGCATAATATTTATATGTTTCCATTGATTTTTAATTTATATCTGGAATTATATATATATGATATATATTATATATAATACGTAATATATATTATATATAATTTTCTGTCGAAAAAAACGCAGTTATGATAAGTTTCGAAATGTTTTTTATTGGTATTTTACAATAATTAGCATGCAATGAGTACACTGATTTAAAAATTTTACATTGATGCTTATTCAGCATGTTCATTAACTACATAACAATTAGAATCGACCGCACTTTATGCGGAAGATTTTGAACTTCAGAAAGATATGTTAAATTCTTCGAAAAGATCAAAGTATTCAATATTTGATTGTATGTCGCGAGAGATTGTTCAAAATTGTCTACATCTTTTATCTCAACATATCAATTAAGTTATTAAAGTAAAAACTGAAATAAATAAAATTTTTTATTTTTATATAAAAGGTATCATTAAAATATTAAAAATACTTTTTTTTTCAAATTGCGTAGATTTACGTAATGTACATAATATATTACAGATTTCGTTAACATAAATAAAAGATATTTGGTAACAAAGACAGTTTTAGGCAGTAAGACTTATTAGCAAAGTTCTTTTGATATAATTATTTAAACGTATTAACTCTCGTTCATTGTATCGGAAGAAAAGTATATATTATTCATTTTTAAGTGTTTTCACACACATGTTTATCAACTTTGATAGTTCTTTAGCCATTTGCCTATTTATTTCTTCGATTAGAGATAATACTGCTAATCTTGAAGAATGCACTTGTACAGAAAATTATGCAGTAATACTTTTTCTTAAATTATACCTCCATCACAGTTCGATTATGTTTATTCTGTTAAATATGAATTATGTATTTTACATATTCATATGTTTGTATCTATCACGGTGTGATAACCGTAGATGCAACTTAACATTTTACTATGTAAAACAGCGCTTTTCAAGTATGTAAGCCGTTTTAACAAGGGGTTAGAAAATTATGAAAAACATTACGTGTCTCCGTTCGCAGTTCCACACACTATCTGATATATTATACTATATATGTATACTATATACTATTCCTGGTAGAAAAATACCAGACCATTTTGAGAGAAGCACTATTATTTCAATATTTGTTGCTATCGAGTTCGTTAATTTATGGTATATCAACAATATACTGCATGATATTTTTCTTTTTACATTGTTATTTATATTATTTTCTATATATGTTTATACGTTTGAAAACAAATGAAATTAGCACATAAATTTAGGACAAATATTAATTGTTTCTTAATTAACAACGCATTTAATAATTGATCGTTTTTTAAGTAGTCAGGTTTAAATACATAACATGTTCTGCAAAATAATAAAAAATCTTTGATATTAATTCTAATAACAGATTTCTTGATCAATCTGAAGTTTAATTTTTTGTAATTAGAGGCACCGTTTTCAAATCTTAAACATTTACAAATGAAGGCCTTTTCACGAGAAATTTATTATTCATTTAAACTGAGATTTTGTTTTTAAAAAATTTTATTTTAGAGGTAAATATAAAAATTTATTTTTAAATATTAGAGTTGTAATAAATTATGATAAGAATTTTATCATAAAATTTATTTTTAATTTTTATTTAAAAAATTTGCGATTATCTATCTAACGAGTTTGATTATGTTTATTTAAACAAATAACATCTTGATCTTTCGATCATCCATTGCATGCATCTTCATCGTGTTATCTCAGTGTAATTATTTTCAATTTTTTAATAGAATTTTTTGTAAAATTCAGAATCACTTAGGAAAAAATTTCTCGAACTTGTAAATTCTCCTTTCGTAAATCTTGTTTTGTGTATTCGTTATATTGGGAATAGATAACAATGTTTCTTCGAATGGTCCCTAGAAAAGATTCTTCAGAGAATCAGAGATATCTGGTATTAAAATTAAAATCAAAGATTCTAGGACAGTACAAATGTTTTATGTGGTCCACAAAGATAAATTATAATCAGTAATTAAAATTTCATAGAATAACTCTATCAATTTTTAAACAAAACTAACAATTAAATACAACATTATATATTCTTTTATCAGATAAATAAATTTCTCAGAAAGCTAAGGTATAATTTTCTTAAGTTGGAGTATCGATTACATAATTCTGTCAGTGTATTGTTAAAAAGTGAACATTTTGATATAAATTTTGTGAAATTGTGATCATTTAATGAGCGTTATATTCGACAGAAAATGAAATTTTATTGAACGAGATCAACATGAGAATTGTAAAAATGAGAAGTAAAAAGTGAAAGTTTTCTGACAATTACGTGATCGATAACCTGCCAAAATAAAAATGAGACGATTTCCGGTTTTCATTGACAATAATTGATCTTTCATATATATATAAAATGAACGTTGCACAGTTATATCGCTATGGAGGAAGGGGGATATAAAAATATATTACACGCGCGGCTAATCCATCACTTTTAATTAAGAACGATTATTATGTTCACTTTGTTTAACTGTTGTATTTTACTAGAAAATTTTTGTTACGTTTTTTATTGGGCGTACCACGTGTGGAAAGATTCTTTGCTTTCACTGCAAATGTCAAATTTGTATACGATTTGTGGTTTAATGAAGAAGTATGGAGGGTAGGCCACAGTTTCATGTACACGCGCGGCAAAATACGTTAACAACAGTTAGAAAACGACCTAAATCTATAAATTTTTGTTACGTTTTTCATTGGGCGAACCAAACGTGTGGAAAGATTCTTTGCTATCACTGCAAATATCAAATTCGTATACGATTTGTGTAAATGTTTAATTTATGGTACATATGTTTCGCGATTGGTTTTTGAAAGAAAGATACTTTTGATGTTGTTAACATCATGCAAAATCCACCTTTATCTGTTTATTATTAAATTTTCTGATCTTTAATAATATATTAAATTCTGAATTTTAATAACCCATTTAAAATATATGTGTTTAAAAAGAATAGATTTTCTTACTCATAAAAAATGAGAAATAATCAATAATGTTTATAGAGAACTAGAATTTGTCGATTAGCGTGCATTATTTAAGGCGTTAAATTTCGTAAAATAAGGATACAACACTATTAAAAATATTAAACATGGCAATTTTAGAAAACGTAGATAACGTCGGATAATTTAATATTAAAGTTTTATGATGGATGGATCGATATTAAATTTTTTTTCCGTTGAATCTCTCTCATGAATCTCTCATAAGAAAATCTTCAAATCTTTTTTATTGCTATAGAAAACTACTTCAAATCTATCGATTCCTTAAAAAGGATACGAATCAATGTTTTTTGAACATTAATTAATATACGTATAATTAAAAGTATAATGTGTATATTTGTACATCTAGTCTTAAAAATGTAAGAATTGATTCTAAATTGATTTATAAAAATAAATAATAGATTTATAAAAAAGGGAGTAATGAAGTTTTTATGTAAAAGATATTATGTTCTGTTATTTAACATATATTGATTCGTATCTTTTTTAAAGTTTGTGTTGGTTATATTGGTTCTTATCGAAGAGATTGTAGTATTCTGTTTTCGTAGAAGAAAATTGTGGTATGTTTTTTAAATATACGAAGTTTGCCTAAAGTGACGCAGGTATAAATACAACTACAATGTTGATATATTCTTCATTCACAGTTTCTTTAAAATATTTCCGTTCTTCTTAAATATATCTATCATGAACTATACAGGGTTTTCCACTATAGTGTACTTTTACGTACATGCTATATAAAAAAATGTTTTAGTAAATTAATTAAAACTTTATTAAAATGTATTTAACATTTTATGAAGAATAATATTTTCTGATTTATTTCAGAAATATACCAAAATTAATTTGTTACTCAAAAATGATTTTTGTGTTCTTTTTAAAATAAGACATCTCTTTTTTATTGCAATATTCAGGGAAGATAAGCGCGCCTGGGACACCCTGTATTTTAATATATGTATATCATTGTGTTCTACCGTACAAGATTTGCATTGCGTTATGTATTCTTCTGACCGTCACATTTGACACATCAATGAACTTTTGCGAACAAATTAGTAAGAATATTTACAAGTGTACGTTACATTTTTCCCATTGCAAGTACAAAAACCTCTTTGGTATGATCGATAACGTTTGCATCAACCAGTCTTACTTTATGTTAGGTCTATTACCGTCTATGCGCTACGTCAAAATTTGTGTGTAACAATTATTTGTCATTAATGTGGCAAACATTACATACTCGTTACCTTTGTGTGAAAGGCGACGCGAGATGCCGATAAAAAATGATTGTCTCGTTACAAAACGCAATTCGTACATGATCTCGTTATTATTCACGCCATTTGTTAAATTTTATATCGTTGAGCAGTTGTTTCATAAAGCGCGTAAAACGTCGCATTCAAAGACAATCGCAATCGACAATTATCGCTGAACAATCATCATTTGTATAACCTGCTCACATTTGCAAAGAAATATTGCCAGCAGTGTTGAACACCATAAATTTCTCTATATTTTGCAAATGCGTCGTCATTTTGTATAGCATTGATCCATTGATTCTCAAGGATTTCTTTTTACGTACACATATACACGCACACACACACTCTTCACACTTCATCGTCTTCTATATACAGAGTCGTTTCGTATTTTTCAATTTGTCCCGAATTTGTTGCCGTTTTTTCGACAATTGTTTGTGCGTCCACGTCCTCGGCGATAATTACGGGATTTTGTCTTAAGACCGTCGTGTCGGTCTTCTCGCTCGATTTGTGTGATCCATACGTTTCGTCGAGATCATCCCCCGAGCTTTCTACATCAATCTCGATGACGTTTTCGAGTTCCGGTTCTTCGAGGAGCATGTCGGCTTCGATAGGTCCGTCGGATGATAAACCGCCTGAATTTGCGTCTTCGATATCTATTACGTGACTCTCATCGGAATTGTCAGCGCGGCTCTCTTCGGTGTCGAGAGATACCGTCGTGAAGTACTTTGGCTCACATTCGGATCCGGAACCCTCCATGACAGCCTGAGTATTCAATGAGTGTCGACTCGACTGAGAATCCTTCGGATGCCGGTCGAAAGATCGTCTCCTGTTGTCGTCCGACCTGGAATGGTGTAGTTTAGCATGACGTGGTCTTCGCAAATTCTCCCCGCTGTTCGTCCGTGATCTCATTTCCATTTCGTCGAGCATATACCGAGTACAATCCACGCTGAACCTGTCTACCGAGAGCTTCCTGTAGATTTGGTTATAAGAAAAAATTCGTCACTTGCCTTGACAAATGAAGAAGCGTCAGAATTAGCCGTAATGGAGATTGTGCATATATTGCAATTAAGCTACATAATTAAAAATATTATATTATTACATGGCATCTCACGCTCTTTTTAAACCATAAAAAAATATTTTATTGTAAATTTGTCTTTAAGCTAAGTAATTTAATTTATCATTATTAATTTAGGATTGTAACAAATTTAGACAAATTTAATCAGAGCATGAATAGCCATTTGGCAAATGACGTGTTATGAGAAATACAAGCAATAACGTATCGTAAAAGTAGATCTGAAATTCTTTATTACCTGTAGTCTCCTCTTCGAAAATCAGGGCTCCTTTTGAATTCGAGGCTAGCTTTTCGATGTCCCATTGTTCTGTCGCGACGATCACCGCCTATTCTGTCGAAGGACATTTTACGGAAGTTTGGCGACGAGATCTTTCGGAAGTCTCGCGGTGAGGTCTTACTGAGCTCCTTTGATACCGCCGTCAATTCTTCCAACAATCTCAAGTCTATCGAATTTCTCTTTCTTGGCACAAAATCGTCTGGATATCTGCAATAGGCACCTGATCGAGGTGTTTACGATATTTATCTGTAGATATATTTTTGATATTTATTTGAGCAATTTTTTTTAACTAAAATAATTATTAGGATTTTTATTGTTCGAATAAAGTTTAATGCATTTTTGTGCATTTTGTACGGAAAGAATAAATTTTACTTTTGCATTCGCAGTTTTCAAACTAAATGTTATAGCTATTTTTTATTGACATTTTTTAAGTATGCTATATATTTGTCAGATGATCACAATGATGATCTTATATATCTTATTTATTTATTTATTTATTTATTTATTTTATAATTACCTGGTAATTTAGGCGAATAAACGAGAGTCGGTGGTGGTCGCGCAGCTTCGTCAACTTCCTCGACATCTTCCACTTTTGTCTGACGAAGTAGCTGGTGACGTCTCGCTGTGTCGGATCGATCTTTTACTTTGAGCGTAACGGGACCTTTATTCGGAATATGCAAATCCATAGCCATTGACGCTTGGCTACCGTTCATTTTTTGATGTTCCAAACTTTCTCTGCTGATCTGTCGATCGAGAAAAGTTTTTCATTAAAATTATTAAAACAAAAGAGATAATTAAAATTTGGTCCCAGTTTGTCAGAATTTGTATTATTTAAAAAAAAAATTTTTTTTTTGTTTTAAATTATAATTATATTTATATTATTTTAGAAATAATTTAAATAATTTGCTCTCTGTGTTATGATAAAAGTTTTTTTTTTCTATAATGTATTGATTGTTTTTATTACCTGATGTGGGCTGTAACTCGGATTGTCGACCGAGAGAGCGTGACGTTGCAGCAATTCCGGATTTAGTAGCGAGCAACCCGCATATTTAGGCGATCTTCGGCGTGGTGACTTTTTATCGATTAACGTTGGCGCGCTCGGGCTCTTTTTTATAGAATGTGCCATTCCTTTCTCTTGCAGATCTTTTGAGAACTGCATGAATTCCGCCGTCAGCTGTTTCCTGGAGACTTCGTGCGTGCTAGGACTTGGACTGCGGTTCACTCGAAATAGGCCCAGCTGATGGTCCCATTTCGTTGTTTGACTCGACGTCGATCTTCTGTTACGTTGATTCTTTGAAGTTCTTAGTGTCGAAGTTTGGTTGAAGCGATAGCGAGCTGGTACTACCTTGGCCGCGCTGTCACGTGCTTCGAAGGTCATCACGCAGGCGGCTACTACAATGAAACCTAGAAACATTGTTATTATATGTGATATGACGGAATCTGAAATTTTATATATGCATTACGTTAATTTATTTACTATTACTTCGGATTGTATTATCATTAATAATTGAACGCTATGCGAGTTTGATATTATATAATATTTCAATATATGTATATATTGAAAAGATTTTATATATAATTGAATAATTTGTTAACTCAATAATAATCCGAAGTAAAATAGAAATATGATGCAGTAAGAATATATTAAATTTTATTTCGTTGCACGACGATTATCTTTTGACTCTAATGCGCAATACAATTTGATTATTTAATAAAATAATTTTGTTTAAAATAATTAACGCTTATCAAAAATTGATGTTGCGAATTAGATAAATCATAAAATATTCCAATAATATATTTCTTTTGAATACAACCATAACTAAAAATGTATAAGGAAGATAAATCCTAGTGCCTACTATATCTGAGGCTTCTCGGCGATAACCGAGCGTGAGCCTCCATAGCTCAGGGGTTAGAGCACTGGTCTTGTAAACCAGGGGTCGAGAGTTCAAATCTCTCTGGGGGCATTTTTTTTCTTGTTTTTATCGAGTGTTCTCGTTTGATCGTGCAGTGCTGCAATATTTGTATATTTTTTGCGTTTCGCCTGTCGATTTCCGCTCTATATCCGTTACATTATTCTATGTTTTGTTTGTAGCTATTTTTGGTCTTTGTATCTCACCATGCAAATCTAACACATGTGTGAAATTTTGCATTTTTGTCTTTTGAAGTTATAGCGATATATTAGTAAATAGTCAGATGCAAAAGATTATTTATTAAATCGATTATTAAAAATTAATGTTGCAATCAATAACATTCTTGACACTGTACATATAATATTATAATATATAATATCTTATATCAACATTTTAAACTAGAAATTATAGTGCAAAAAGTTTGATTTAGTTAGATACAGTTCTGTTTCTAAAAAATCTATAAAATATTTTTGCATTTAACTTTTTCTGCAACATTATTATATTGTATTACGTAAGTTCGTCAATGTATACGTCATATATTACGTGAGATTAAACCCAATTATAAGTATGGCACGTATTTCATTTTCGAAAAGGTTTATGTGCATTTGTGGCAGAGCACCTACCTATTATCGCGTAATAATTACTGCAAGGAGATCTGTGTCATATAACTATCCACTGGGTTGAATAAGTGTATTATGTTCGTAAATTGTGCAATGTATATTACTATTACCTCCTAGACCCATAACGACAGGGCCGGCGTAGCTCAGGTTGTTTAGGTGAAATCCACGCGATTCGTTCTTCACATTCACCGTGACATTACCTCTGATCTCTTGCGCGACTGACAACTGATCTGCATAATATCCTATTTAATAAAACGAGAAAAATGTTTTTATTTTACGACGCGTAAATATGCAGATGAGTGGGACGTAACGGAATGAGGACAATAAAATCGGAATGGCAAGATATTTCGATTTAAATATTATTCATGTACGGTATTTCACATTTATAAGTTACGGACTTTGCGTAAAATTGACATGAAATAGTAAGTTCTATATTGGAAAAATTTTATGCAAATTTTATTCCTCATTTTATTATGCCACATCTTTGTCTGCCTTCTCGCAATGCAAAAATTTTGGAGGGCTTAAAATGAAAAATTTTATACAATATAACATCTAAAAAGTATTTTTTAATATCTGAAAAACATCCAAATTTTTTAAAATAATATTTCGTAAATTATACGAAAACATTCACTGAATAATTGTGTTGTATGAAGTGAAATTGTTTTTAGAAACAATATTAAATTTAATACAAATTTAATTCATGCATGTAAGCGTAAGTAAGCATTAACTGCAAGCTTGTGCGTAATAAAGAAAAAGATTAGTCTTTTGCTGTCCATGCGTAAGCATTAGAAGATTCAATTGTGAATTTATGTTAGAAGTGTATAATAATTATTCAGTTGTTTTTCCGTCATCGTGAAAAATAATTTATCAAATAAAATAGCTTTGCAAAGTTCTTCAAATTTTAATAAAATACAATTAGACCACAAGGGGATTGATTTTTGATCCAAAGTGCTCTTTGTAGACGCCTCTAAGCGATTAGCGGCTCAGAGGCCGAGGCAGACTAGCGCTCGTCAGTATTAGACCTGTTTAATTTACGTAATTCTACTCACCTATGGTCGCCATGCAAGCTCCTAAAAGCATTAGCAGCAGCCCAATTCCGAGAGCTTTGCAGGCGTGCCACAAGCACCGCGTTGTCACCTTGCCTCTCACCACCTGTTCGATTTAATTGCCGTCGTTAACAGTTAATAAACCTGGACGATGGTCCAGTCGTTTACCAGCCATAGCGACAAACGCACATACGATCACGTTTACATGATGTGCCGTTAAATCGATCAGTGCGATTTACAATGTTACATTACGGTGTAACGGCATAGTAACGCTCCTCGGTGCTGGTTACTATAGTCTTATGTAGCATTTACGTGATCTAAATTATTGCGCCGTAACAGTATAATTGCTATAATGCTAGAATAATTAATCGTAGACTATCTAATTAAAGAAGATATGTATAAAAATTTTATCTACGAGTGTTTTGTTGAGAATAGTTGTATATAATAGTTGAGAAAAGTATTTAAAAAGATTGAATAGTATTTAAAAATAGTATTGCAAATATCGCAAAACTGTGCAAATGTTATCTCAGCAAAGAGTGAGAGTAATCTTTTCAGCGGCACTAATAATTGTAGTTTTGTGTTTGGTTAGATAAAATTTGCGTATGTACTTCCGTCAAGGCTGATTCTCCATCGGAAGTAATTTCGGCAAGCCTTCGGCGAAATTTATGAACGTGCTAGAAATGATTAGAGTACGAATATGTTGTACCTACAGTATATAGTACATGCTCTCTACATATGCACATCGTTTTTCTCTCTCTCTCTTCTCTTTCTTTCTACTGATATTTTCACCGGCGGTCTACTCCGTAATAATTACACTAACGAGGCCGATAAAGAGTTTCAAGTTTGATATGTACTGCACTCAATATCGATCTCGAATTTTTATAAGCGATGAAAATGTACCTGTACGTTCCAATTAGCTCCAGGTCCGCAGGCTCTTCTCTGCGTCCCCTGCCATTGAATGCTTCCTTGTGGCATCCTGTGTTCGCAAAAGCAAATATTTCATTATATTATTGCAATGCAAAAGAAAAAAAAACGGCAAATTTAATATGCTGAATTCTGATATGCATTATATCATAGAAGCAAAATTGTTATATGAACTATATTTTAGATTTTGATGAATAATACAAATTATTAGCTACGTTCAATATCTACCGCTGTTTTGATGTAATAATTATAATTGTGAAAAATCGAATACAAATCTTGTTGATGTTTCGAGAATTTTCCAATGTAACAAGCGATGAAACGCGTTTATAAGCTATATTTCTGTGTTGACTGAGTTACACAAAAATTCAAGTGGTTTAAAGTAGCCAATATTCCTGCTTGTAAATGCGATTTTCACATCAAAAATTTTATTCGCTGTATATGTTTTTGAAGCAGAGAAATTACGAAATAATTATCTCATTTTTATATTATCTAATTATTTTGTCATAAGGATTTGCTTTTATCTGGTTTTTGTTATAATTTCATTACATCTGTGATAAAATAAGGCCTGATTTGTACGTAGAGTATTTATTATTATACCAGCATATAACATATTCTACCGTGGTTTTTAAAACAGATATAGATTGATCATTCCATTATCAATCTAACACTACGTTTAATTTTATCTTTCGATGAAAATAAAAGCTACAAAATATTAATCCATTTATCTTTATATAACGTAATGATATTAATAGTTTCAAGATATTACTTTTTAAAATTGTTTTAAGAATCTTTAAATCATTTGTAATTTGGCTATGTTGCAAAATTTTATATGCCTTTATTTTCATCCGATAAATTTTTCTAATTAAAATTTTAATTAGTAATATTAGTAATATTTTAATAGTCGAAAAAAAGCAAGTGATTGCATAGTTAACTTCTGTGCTATATAAATAATTTTGTTGTATCTCCTCACTGGTTTAATGAAGACTAAATCTAGTGTTTAACACTTTGTGTTAATGTTAATCACTAATGTTAATCACAGTTTATTAAGCTGTTTACTCTCAGTTTTGTTGATTTTTAAGTTTCAGAAACATACGATTCCATTTTTAAAAGTTTTAATAAAAAAGAAGAACATGAAACTATGAGTTGCAAGAAGAACGAGTTTATTTGTGCGCAAACAATAGTGCCAAATGAAGTGGCAAATAGAGACGAATTCAATATTTGTATTTGTTCCTATATTTTTGCAGTCTCTGTATTTTTTTTCCATTTATACTTGGAACAATATTTCCTCGTAAAATGAAAGAGCGTAATATCGCGCGAGTCCGTTAATTAGCAATTCCGAATTCATCTCGCGGTATTATATGCGCGATCTTTCATCGCGTTTCGTCGCGTATAGCGCCGTTTTGTGTCGTGGTTTTAATTTGACGTGTGCATACAACCAGCGCTCGGTTTGCTGTCTAACACATCGACATTCCATATACCGTCGCTCATATACCATACGTCATAGCACACGCACACGCTGTCCCAAGCCGCGCACAATGTATACGTGAGAATTATCTGACTACTTCGTCGGTGTGCATCGCTCTCGTGTGCATAGCGAATGCAGAAGCGCATTGTTCGCGCGCCTGTGCCTCCCGCATTTCGTCTTTCAATGTCGAAACTTTGCGCGCGTCCTATCGATTCAAATCCCTCTTTGCAGCTACTGTCGCAATCCTTCTTTGCATCTCGCAAGTTGGCCATTTTCGTTTAGAGACTCTCAGCGAGTAAATCCTCTTTTGTGTATCACCAAGATCCCGTTCTAATGCTGAACTAGTTTGCCGTGTTCTTAAGTCTGCTCTTTTTCGTCGATGAAATGATTTCAGATATCAGTAGGATTTTATCAAATAATTTTCAAATGGGTTATTTGTTATATGAAAAATCGCAAGAATTTATATCTTCAGAATACATATCTATTTGCGAAAGAAATTGCGAATTTTGCGAAAAAATTATGCAAGCGCAATTTATATTTTACGCAGAAAAAAAATGTTATTACAATTTTAATTAGCTGAAGCGATCTGTACACACAAACACACACACATACTTATATATTTTAATGATGCGTTTTAACGGCAGTGATTTGCGTATCGTTATCCGCGTTAGATATAACACGAAATCTCGTGCAGGATGATGAATAGGCGTGATTTAACAGCTGCAATCGTTCTTGTTCTTGTCTATCCACAAGAACACGCGCACAAGTCTACTTAAGTTGCATGTTACGAACTCCACTCGGCTATTTCAGAGTGATTCGATCCGACGGGCTCCCGAGAAACTGCTTTCCGTCGGATTGCTTCTCACAGTTCATTTCGCACAGCGTAACACCCAATTCAGGAAAACGTTCCAGGCTATGTCGTTTTCAAAATCTTAAATTGGATTTAATACGCGAAAGGTCTTTCACTATCGACGATCTTTATAATTAATATTATTAAAAAGTTCTTCGTTTAAAAATATTGCGCAATTTGATAAATGTAATAAATTTTTACCATTTTAATAAATTCCAAGTTAAATGTTTGTTGCATGAGATTTGCTCCATGATATATTCATCCGATTTGAGTTCTTTTATTAATACAGTGTATTCTAAATTTTTTATGCATCGCGCATAAATAGTAAAGTTTAAACTTGAAAAAACCAACAGTTTCCAAGTTTTAAACGAATGAGAATAAAAAGGTATTCGAGGAATTAAACTTGTAAATTGTGTACATATATCTTTCTTATGACTAGTTTTTATCAGACTTTAGCAAAAATTAAATATTTAAAATTAGACCAAGGCAATTATTTTTTAAATTTGAAATTTGAAAAGTGACTGATAATCTTAAATTTCCGTTAAATGTAAATTGTATTCGCATTTATTAGAGAATATGTGGCTAACGGTGTATATTTTTCTAAGCGCTTGTTTCTGCGCGTTTTCAAGCTATAATTTTTATTTCCGTAACATTGATCAAGGTTTTTTTCGTATGTTTATTCATGTTTTATTCCAACCAGAACTTTGATTACGGACACATATGTTACGGGTAAAGATAGAAAACGCAATAAACTTAGGATTACCTTCATAAATCTGACCCACTGCCCAGCGCTTCTTACCTACGTAAAATTATATTTTCCTTTTCTTCTATTCTTACGCCTAACACACGCGTAAATCACTTGGAGCGGTTAAGCTGAGAAAATATCGATTTTGCAGTAGCTCACGTTTCACGAAAGTGTAATTTATCCCCCTTGTGGAAGGCGCGAATCACGAAGCAATCGAATTATCCGTGATTTCAGCACCGCTCGAGTATTTCCGATATGACCTCACGTAGTTCACCTGTCCTTATGTGGATTATTAAAATCTGACACCTGTGCTCGTCACAAATGTGCGCCACGTTATCGAGATAAATAATGGATTTCGATGCTTGTGCAGACGGTAGGTTGCCATAACTACCGACTCCACCGGTTTCATTTGCATAACCACGACCTTTCGTAGTACCCCGTGTTCTTCCTTGTCCAATCAAAGCCTGACTTCCGATCGACAGAATAGCTTGTTTGAATAATGCATCGCGGAAAAGTATCGGGCTCCCGTGAGTTTTCCAATCGTTTGCCAAACTGTTGCCGGTACGATGTTTCTATCGAGCTCGCAGTGATCTCATGAATGATTTCTTTTTGACATTTCCCTGATTTTCGAAAACATCTGATGTCAGAAAACACGATGTACAGCATCTGCGCAACCAGTCAATATTTTAGTAGTTTTATCGCGAACAATATTCTGCTGATATTTTGTTTTTAATACATTGTCACGCAAACACAATTATTACTTTAATATTACATAACATTTTCACGCATTAATGCTGATTATATTATGAATGTTTTATTACCTTTTTTTATGGAATCAGGATCATATGAATATGTACTAGATATAAAGAGTTTTATATTATTATTCCTTAATATCGCGCAAATATCGTATATGGAGAGGTCGCGGCCTATATTTAACCCTTTGAAGTATGTTGAAGCAAACCGTGTAAGCGTCGAGTGTTCACGAAAAGAACGTGATAAAAAGCTTCTAATACGGCCTACGCCATTACGAGTATCGATGTAATCAACATGATGTTTTTTGTTCCAATAGCGTTTCAAATAAACTTTATATTAAAATAAAACCCGTTTGCAATTAATTAAAAAAGATCAGATTGTGCAATTAACGTTAGAGTTTTTGCTGCAATATTAATTTAATTTATAAAAAAATCTATATTTAATAAAAAGTACGCTTCAGTAGAGCTTCGAATAAATTTTACATTGAAATAAAATCTACTTGTAATTAATTAAAAAAAGACCAAGTGCCTCTGATTAACGCCAGCAGAATTTTTTCTACGATACATCAACTTATATTAGTTTCAAAAATCTGTATTTAATAGAAAATGCGCTATTTATAAGGCATTTTATATAATTATTAATCCTATTTAATTACCCATCTAGATGTACATTTGCATCTGTTTATTATGGCAGTTAGTTTTTGCATAGCGTTGCTTCGGGGAATGTGAAAGTATATGTATATGTATAAGTACAGCGTAGATTCAATGAGTTGCTATTACTCCGTCGTTGAATTTGCATTTTTAATTACTCTTCGTAACGCAATCTTCTTGATGCGAGAGTCCCTGCTCACAGTCGCGCACGAATACTTTATCATTTATCTCGCTATTTTCACATGCTGTATATATCTGTACATACTATGCCCCGGTATAATACATAAAGGTATATTTCTGTTGCTTCGTATCTCGCTTTTGTGGATGAGTGCACGCTTTTAAAACATTTCGTCCATCTATCTCAAACATCTGAAATTTCTATTTACGAAAGAAAGCTATTTAACAAAATTATTTAAATTACTTCGGCTCACCTTTCTTTCTTCCTTCGCTTTTTTTCGTTGTCACAGCATCTCGTCCGTGTTCCGTGTTCCGCGCCCAAAGAATCGACTTTGGCAATTGATTATGTTCGTCTTCTCTGGCTTTTCTTCTCACTGATGAGTCAGACACGCGAATCGAAGCTCTATCGAAATTAACGACTCGTCTATTTCGCTCTAATGTTTCGCCGTTGAGGTTTCATGCGGCGCTATCGAGTTATCCCGCGCAGTTAAGGCCGCAACGTGCAATCCGAACAATCAACGAGGTGAGCTCGGTGAACTCGAAAATTTTCGGCACCGTACGGAGAGAGAGCATCGACGTTTTATTTTTATTCCGACACGTGTTGCGTACACACAGCGCGAATGAACTAAGAAAACATGAGGATGTCCAGGGCGATTTTCGTCGTATTTACTCACGCCGTGTTTCTCGCTTCGTCATTTCACTTTCGTCATCTTTTGTGATATAATTAAATCGTCAATATTTAAAAGTGCGATAGACAAGTGCGTTTCGGACAACGATGTGAATTGTTTATTATTGACTATTGCTTCCTTAATGCATATTTCTTAAATATAGAATTTGCACGCGATTAATCGAATGTATTTAATAAATTACATTCTAAATTATGCCAATTTAATTATACACAAAGTCAAATTTATCTTTGTGCATTTTTGCTAATTAAGTATGTGATCATATTAAAGAAGCTGCACTGATTGATTAATCTTCAGAATATCTCGAGTCGGTTGTTACTCAATAGCTTTATCGCGGCCAGCGAACCGAAGCGAAAAATTGCATTGGAATTGGAATTCGGTTATTAATAAATCAAAGTACGCCGTGCTATCGGATTCTGAGTGCGGAGCGACAAGAGGAAATCAATGATTTTATATATAAAATGAAGATGTCCGTTGTGTGCAGTCCGTTGAACAGTGAAATATCCTGTCTGACTACAATGCTCTTTGAATTCCTTTATGTATCCCCATAAAACGTTTGTATGTATTTCTGCCAATGAAATATCGCTATCTTTCGAAAAGATTCCTGTATTCTTTCCTTTGCGCTCATCTTACACACACGCTGTTCGTCGACTTTGTCTTTGCAACTGCGAAATCTTATCGTATTCGTATTTTGTAACTTTGCATAAAAATTTAAAAAAATATTTTTTAAAAATTGTCTTAAGGTCTTTCGCAGAGTTCATCTTCAATTTACATAATTGACAAACATTTGATAAATGTCTAACACACACGCAATAGATCGAATCAGGATATTTCGATCAGGATCGGATTTTCAAATTTCGATAACTTTCGTCAAATTGATTGAGTTAATCAAAACTGTAAACAATCGAAGCATTAAAAAGATCGCAAAAATTCACTTCCTCGATTCGGCTATCGTTGCATTTGTAGATCACCTTTTTCCCGCCGTTATCTAAAAATGTCAAAAATCTCTCACCTTGCTCAAGTCCAACACACGGAGGGAAACACTCGATCATCGTACGTCGCAAGTCAATCCCGCGCTCATGTTTTAACCGCGTAATGCATAACCCCGAGTGTACTCCGGTTTTCTCGCGAGACAGAGAACGAACACGCGGGAAGCTGCGTCGGAAGAATCACGGGGAGCACTGTAAACTGCCTATCCACTAAATCATCGACCGATCGAAACTTTCGTCGCGTCTCTCGCCCCGATGTTTTTCGCCCGAATTTCCTCCCACATTCCGCTGGCGTGCGGCTAAAGTGGATCCGATCCCAGCGCGTTTATCCTTTGGGTCGTCGTCGGATGAATCCTGGCTGGTTGTAGGCGATCCACAGGGTAATATGGCAAGCGATAGGCCCGAGAGAGAGTTAGTACTAAATCACCGTCGTCGGCAGCGGAACCCGGGGGAGACGCTCGACGAGATGCCGCTCGAGGGAGTGTCCTCCTCCTTCTTCGGCATCACCTGTTGGTATCGTGCCGTGACCCCGGTCACGGTTTTATACAGGGTGGCACACGCTGAAAATCCGCTGGAGCAGCGCGGTGCGCGTGCACCAATGCGCACTCGCCGACACGACAGATCGATGTGTGTTATATATCGCGAGCTTCCCTCCGCTCTCTCCGGGAGGATAAGGAGATCCTCCGTTCAGCATCTCTCCCGGCTTCTCTCCCGACGGTCGGTTACGAGATGCGCGATGTTTCCGTTGCTATCGCGCGTTTACCCGTCGATTTCGCGGCGTATCAAATGCATCTCTCGCGGCCAGGTAGCGTGCAAATGACAATTTTTTGTGCCAGGAGATATCTAGACGCGCGGAAAGTATCCAGATGAAAAATTAGAATGTTAATCAGTTGAACATGTAAAGAGAGATACATCGGATCATTACTATAAATTTATTATAATGTTGGTTATATTTTTACTCTTTTTTTACTCTTTTTTTTCATATTAATGCAATATGATTTGATAGCTGTTGTCAATATTTTAACATTATCGGTATATTCGGTTTATTTCCCTGAGATCTTTTTTTAACTTTATACGTTTGACATCATATCATTCTATTTTTATTCATTTATATGTGGTAAGATGTATAATATTGGATATCGGAATTTAATCAAGATATTATTTTTTCCGATATCGGTTATTTTTGTTACTATGCTTCAAGTTTAGATTAATTATAATCAAGGAAATCGGTCTTGATAGATAATGCTTTATACTTAATACTTTATATTTAGCAATAAATGGTTGACATTTCTATCGCTTTCTATTTTAAGTAATTAATTCTAAATAAGTCGGATCTGATAATCGTTAATAAATCGATTTATTCTGTATTTTATAGGCCATTACACTAGTCCAATGTCTAATGTCTAATGTGATTATTTAGTATAATAATAGTAATGGTTAGTCTAATAAATTCCGCTGAGTTAGTATATGTGATGTACAATACATTATTCACGCTTTGCACATCGTTTTTTAGGCTTTCGCTAAATGTTCGGTTTATTACTATGAATAAAAGGAATATTGAAAGATTACTTAGTATGCCGCAAAGGTAGTGTGCTTAATGTTGGTATTGGAAATGTATAACATGAATATCGATTGTTTAAGTATTGATGTTCTTTACTTTTTCTTTTTAATGCGCAGTAGTGATGGCAGAACAGGGATGAATTATTAAAGTCATCGCGCGAAAAATGAATCTAACAAATTTAATAATATATTAAATCTGTGAGATATTAGAAGTTGAGTATAGTGAATTAGTAGAACTTAGTAATACGATTGACATCTTTGCAATATAAATTATTGATGTCAATAAATATTTTTGTTTATATTGATGATCAACTGTAAAACTTTCTTTTTGTAGCCTTTGCCAATCGATAATCATGTTTTAACGAAAATATATGGCGGATCTTAAATGTGTCGTTTGGACTATAAAACTCAACTATCTCTTTTCTCATGAGATTACTGTATCTACGATGCCATTAATTTTTATTAGAAGCCCACTTCTAGAAGATTCTCGGAACAATTTACTTTTTTTTTGAAAAAAATTGTTAGCGTTTTTTTTCAATTTTAATTCTATTGTAGAGTGAAAAAAATCGTAACAATCTAACATAAGTATTAATCTTAAACATGCAAAATTCAAGGTTTTTTATAAGTTTGTGTTATTATGTATACTATTTCATTATTGTTAAAAATATTACATTTTATACACAGCTTTTTTTTTAATTTTTACTCTACAGAATAAAAAATATTTTGCTGCAAACATTAATTGATTAAATTTACTTTTTGAATATTGAAAATTTTAATTAATAAAAATTTTTAGTACAGGCGGGGAATAATGAAATAAATATTGCGTCAATATTGATTGATTTTGTAAATAATATTTATTAGATAATGTGTGCTTACGAGTATTAGGTAACATAATGTATTCTAGGGTCCTTCATAGAAGGCGTACAAATCATTGTTCCAGCAATGTCTTCTAGATTAACGTAGATAAAATCACCGCCGTTGCGATCGTCTTCGTCCGCTGTTCGCGAAACTCGCGACTTTGTTACCAAAGTAATATTTTCAATAATCGACATTTAAAATCGAATCAGTTTTGTTCACCGAGGTCTCAGATTATTACCTTTCGCGTTTATCGACCAAAGTTCGCACGATTACCTAAATTGATTTAATAACTTGGCCTATAACGCCGTAAAAAGGCGTGTAATTCATAATATTTGCAAGCTTCATTTTCGAAATGTCTCTTTAAATATATTTCTTTAAACGCTTACTTTTAATTCGTAACAATCTTTTTTATTTATATATATGTTGCTAAAAATTCAACAATCGTAATCTATTAATAATAAGAAATTGAGTAGAAACGCTGTTGATTCATTGCTAAATTGGCTTATAGTACAGTATCGTAAAATTGAATTTTATAGCAGAGCAAGCGCGTCTAATTAATGCAAAGCCGCTTAATCGCGAAGGGCGTATTATGCTATATGCTTCGATAAGCCAATGCGCAAGTTTAAGAGAAAATTCTTTTGCAAACAGCCGCCGCGATAAGGATCTGACCTTACTTATCCACGAATACGACCTCGTCATAAATGATACGATTCGATTTTATTGCCGCAATTCATGCGCGTCTACGACGATCGACTCGACGTTCTTCCGGATCACTTCTAACATCAAACCAACCGAAACACCTAAAATTAGTTTATACACGATCTAAGTTTACCTTTCTCACTCTCTAACTAAAACTGTTTTCAAGTAAATGTATCACTTGTAAATATTTCCCTAAGTTCGTCGGAGCCGGCGAGCGCGCGCCCGAAAAACGCGGCCCGACATCCTTTAAAAAATTTTCAATTAGTTCATTCCTATTCTCTTTACATTCTCTCACGCTAGCTCTTTCTCATTCATACACTTGCACTTCTTCTTTCCGCTTCTTTTGTTATATACAGGATGCTTCTAAACTATCGCCAATTAATTTTTGTAAGAATTTTTCGATTAATTTGATTCGCAACTTCTCAAATGAAAAAGAAAACAAGTGTTTTCTTGTTAACAAAATTTGATTTTTTAGTTCATTTTGGGAATATTACTTTAACAGAATTTTAAAATTATCGCAATATCTAATATTTTGCAATATCCAATATTTTATAAAGACTAAAAAATAATGAAGACAGATTGAAAATAAATAAAAGAAATCCGTAAGTGAAAAGATGGCGATAATTTTTTTGGACATCCTACGTATATAGTATATATTTATCCGTTCTCATATAGATAATAGCAAGTGAGTTAGTCTCATGCACGTTTTATGTCCGCAAGTACATCGATGCCTAATTTGCGTAGATATTAATGTAATTACGCACATATCGGTATATATTTATAATTACGTTCATATAGGTTGCCATGTACATGTGTATCTATGTTTCTTTTTTTTCGCACTTTTTCTTTTCCTTTTTCTCTCTTCTCTCTCTCTTTCTCTCTCTCTCGTTCGCTCGCTCGCTCGCTCTCTGATTGTGTAGGTGTGTATATTCGCGTATATATATATATATATATATATACTATATTTCTTAGGTAGTAAGTATCAATAGTGTCTCTTGTTTATAGCATTAAGAATTAATTTATTAAAACTTTCTCTATCATCTTCATATTTTCATAGTCTCTTTAATATCTGGCCGTGCATTTCTTTTCGCAACGTTAAATGCATTTTCGTCGCACGGATCTCGCAAATTTCTCTCTCTCTCTCTCTCTC